TGCATCGTACCACTGGGCGATTTGCAATTCATTTGGAGCACGCATTGATAGGCAGAAATTGATGGATACCCCAAAGCCGGTCAGAGGATGTCTTTTCATCTTGGCCGAGGGCGTATGGTATATGGGTTTAAGATATTCCACGCGCCGGGTGTTTGAGAAGTAATAAAAAGCCGGGGCGCGGCGTCATTACGTTCATCCAGACAAACGAGGTGCCGGCGTGACTGGGATGTCGACGCCGCGGAAGACGAATGCCCGACGTCAAAGGGAGAATCGAAAACTTATTCAAACGCCACCAAGGAAAAGAGGGGTCCACTGTCCGGGTACATCCCTTTGGATTCCAAGACATTGGATATTGACACTCTAACGACATCAAGTCATAATCTCCCCTTATCCCCCCTATCTCCCCTTATCACACCTCATCCCCCCTCATCGTCCCTCATCGCCCCTCATCGCCCCTCATTGCCCCTTATCAATTTTACCGAATTCCCCACATATTCCCTAATTATTTAATTTATATTTAAATCAATTTATATTTATTTATAATTAGATTTCCAAAAATTTAATAGTCTCGATGCCATTGCTTTATCAATGATAACGCCATATATGACACGCCAAAATATTTGATACACCCCATTTTTCAAGCGGAAAATTCAGCCTCCGGTTTTTCGGAATGACGGATGATAGCGTTGACGATGTGCTGGACGAGATTTCCGTATGGTAGACTTAATGCCCCACGCCGCGGGAATATTTCATCCAGCCTCTCCCAGTCTGATCTCTTCAAAAAGCCTTTTTTTCTATTTTTCCCTTTTTTTTTATTACCCGAAACTCTTGCGGTTGAGACGTATGCAGAGGCCGTATTCACTGGTTGTTCCCTCCTCCCACGTCTCGCGCATTTTCGAGATTTGCTGGACACACGGGTGAAACGTGATAGGATAACGGGGGGTAGTTGCGTGACTATTCGTCTGACTGGGGATACATTTCTTGAAGTCGACTCAAAAGTTCTCGTGACGGGTTGAGAGAAAAAAATTATTTCAACAACTTTCCGGGGCCCACTCTAAGCCCATCCCCAAGTGCCACAATAGTTGACACCCGCAGTGAATGGTCCTGCATTCTAAAATGTCACTCCATTTTTTTTTATTCTCCTTTCAAAAACTTCTTCGCGACTCGCGTCACCTCATTACGCCGCCTCATATTCCCGGTGACACGCACGTTCGTCGATGAATTATGAGGAAAAATGGGGTGAAAAAAAAAAGTTAATATAAGTTTTGTCGTAACTGCTGACGTTTGTTACGAGTCTACGGTTATTTCTCCGGTGATAATAAAAAAGGGCTGATAATAAAAAGTCGGGGGTGAGATTTTGATGCGCGGAGTATTCGATGAAAAAGCACTATCTCATTTTGTTAAAATTCAACGGTGAAATTCCCATCTTGAGAATTAATTCAAAAACCATATGACGTGGTGGAGGAAAAAATCCCCAGGAGAAGACATAACCGGCATACGTGGCCGAATGTATATTCCCGGTGATCAGAATCCTGTAGGATACCCCCACGCAAGCCTAAGATCACTGCCTCCTCGGAAACAAGAGTAAACCCATAGACAACACACGGTGTACATCCCCCGGTGGTAGAGGATGAGGGTGAGGGTGAGGTAAGCCAGTATACTCTCCATATTTTCCTCCCTTTACCCCTGGAGCTCTGGGTTACGGCAAGCCAATATCTAATACTGTCGCCCCGGAATTCCAGATGCAGCGACCCTAAGTGATACACGTCTTATTTATTATTATTGCCACGGCCGCGGTAACCTTTCCTCCACCTCCTCCACCTCGTCCTCCCCCTCATCCTCATTCTCCTCCTCATGTCACGGAAGACAACCAAAACGAGAAGAACGCACAGGTCCTCTCGTAAAATTGTTGAAAAAAATCCCACTCCGCATTCATCTGACTTCTTGATATTCGGTGGCTTCTGTTCTCCTGCTCCTCAAGTTTATCAATTTTCCACATTCTCTGGGACAATTAGTGAAATTTTGTTTAAAATTCCAGCGATAATTTAAAGAAAAAAAAACATTTTTCTCCCGAATATTCCACCCTAATTGGATTTTATAAGTTGAATTTTCACGGAGCGAAGGTGATCTCGAAGAGGTGTGATATGACGGAGCGATATCATTTGCATGGTTATTCGATGAGGCGTTATCACCCCCATACCCATGAGATTTTTATCGTCACGCGATCGTCCGATCACGATGACCTGGCTTCTTACACGAGTGTCAGAGACCCTGGCATCCCCCTTTTCACTGTTGGTGTCCTTTGACACGTCCATTCCACCCGTGGTCTATAAGGTCGTGCACATACTCCATTCGGGACACGTATCAGTTTCCTTTCTCGCGCGAATCGAGGGCCGATGAGACGAGACGCGACCCGAATCGATCGTCCTGGGCTCGATTACGTCGGATTAGGTCGTAACGTGGATTAGCTCGGTGAAAACTGTATGGAGCGTGAAATTATACTCGTATCTATTCCATGCAGATGCTGACAATCTTCACGAGGACATAATTCAGTACTTATTCACCCTTGTTATTCCGAGTGGATTAATTGATAATTAAAAATCGCCAGCATGGGGCTAACGGGTGAAGAAAAATAGGTGTATAAGATAGTGAAGGAAATTTGGCTGAATCCCTCGAAGAAGTTACAACCAAGTACGTACTTACCTCAATAAGCTGCCAGGGTGGCTGGCAGAATGCCGCTACAACGAAAATTTTCATCCACCGATATGAGAAATCGGTGCTCCCTGGTACGAGGGGAGTCAAGAGTGTGCCAGGAGAAAATGAATCCTCACCCCTCATCCGGAAATTATTCAAGCCCTTTTTGCCCCCGCCTCCTCTGAATGAAATAAACGAAATAGAGGAGGTGAGAGTGGTGAATCTTGGTAGAAAAGTTTTGAATGGATAAAGGCACGTCATAACTGGGTGAGTTTTCCTTAACCAAGTGGAATTGAAACGAGTCAGTCGAGATTGTTCACGGGGGGTTGAGAAAAAGCAGCGCGATGGTGAGAAATACAAGAAAAATTTAGAAATTGGTTTAAGCTTGACTTCCTCGTACACATCTGAAGAGGCTGTACAACTCGAGGGTACTTTGATTGCCAGGAGGCAAGAGTAGTGACAGGCCCATTACCAGATGCTAATATAAGAACTGGTGGGACAACCTAGAGACTCCAGTACACATTATCCGGGTGTTTTCTCGAGAGGGCGGCACATCTCGTCTTCAATGCCTCGTTTTCTCCCCGGGGTTGAATCTCAATGTACCGTGTGCTACCGGAGAATGGGTAATTATACAAAAGGAACAGATGAAAATGCAGGTGCGGTATAGCTTCCGAGATCATTCCGTCGAGCATAATTTCGTATGCATTAAAAGCGAAAGTTATGAATGAGATTTCTCTTTTATTATCTCGTAACGTTTCTTTATTTCAACGGTGAAGCCAACCCCAAAGCCAATAGCCGTATAAAAGACTCAGAAATCTCCACTGTTAGACGTCCCAACAAAATTTAACATTCACGGAAACAAGTTGCTTCAACTAATCGCTTCATTTTTCACCGATATCTCTTCATCTCGATCAGATGGCGAAATTTTTACTGATACCTTTTTTATGGCTCTCATCGAGATCTACAGATGAATCAGTAACGAAAATTTTGCTATTCCTCTTCAGTCAGGAGATATTTTTGCAGAAACAAAAAAATTAGTCGTAATATAAGAATCATCTCTGATGACCGGTATATTCACGAGCCCCGATTTCACTAGATTTAACGCCGTCTCGACATGAAACACCGGCATCCCCCCAACCCCTCGGCTTATTGAGGGTAAGTACGTAGTTTTCCCCCAGATTTCCAGCGTCTTACGTTGAAACCAAGAGTTAAGCTCGCTGGTGGCTGTTATACGAGCCCTCGAAACGAGCCACCCAATCCACCCAGTTCATGGCATGTAGTGTACCCAAGGCTTTTTTTCTTCTCCCTTTATTCCCATTTTTTCCTCGCTTCACGTACAAATTAGATGGTGGTTGGTCAACCTGAGGAAATGGGTGACAAGGATGCCATCGTAAAAACCACACGAGCCAGTGGAATCGAATCAGGGGCGGGCAGGGGGATGGAGAGTAAAAGCCGTGAGGGTGTTAAATTCTAAGGCACCAGCTATAACCCTGAGCCAGCTAAATCCTTGATTCGTTGGCTAGTGCTCACACTTTCGACACTGCATGCTGCTATTTTCTCGAGATTACCCTCCGCAAAATTACACTGTACGATTAATTTAACGATACGATTAAGCCGAATGAAATGCGCAATCAAATAATATAGAAGCATTCAGCGTAATTGCACGTACAAATGCATAATGATCGATTGTCTTCGTTATAGACAGGTAATAAACAGGTACTGAGGAAAAAAAATGAAGAAATAACTGGGAATGACAAACCTCGTAAATTAACGCCTTCGAGTTGGATTTTTCCAACTAACATTCCACAGATTCTGATCGTTCGCACTAACGTCATCAATTAGTTTTGCTGTCTGATGTGAGATAATTCTAACACCCGAGGTCACCTGGTAATTGTTACTCATTCTCAACGCCAGCTATCATACGTTAAAAACAAAACGAGACTGATTTACTGGGAAAATATCATCACGAAAATCATAACGAAAAATTACATGCGAGAAACAAAGATGAACACCGAAAAATATAGATGGGAATTAAGGCACCTCGAGATTAAATTATCCGCCATGCCAGGGGCACAGTTGATTCCCATTTTCGGGATGGCCCTCTGGGAGGACTTCATAAATTCCGCCTGTTTCCTCACTCTATATTCTACGTGATAGAAATATCTTAATTCTTTTGTATTTATTTATTGCTAGAACATACGCGGAGGAGTAGACAAAATGCAACAATTGAGATGAGCACGTCTATCCATAGATATGAGAATACGAAGAACAGGATAAATAAAGACGAGAGATTATTTTCACAACAGTATTTATTAAAATTCCTGCAATATGAAAGACTTGAACAGATCGTCATCCCGAACATCCCTCATAATATCAAAAAAATAAATAATTTATTAAAGAACATGTATCACAGATATCTGAGTAATCTCTAAAGCCCCATAATTCAAGGTAAAGCAGGCTGGGAGCTCTTGGGTGGATTGAGCTTGAGCTGAATCTCCTCGAGGGTCTTCCCCTTGGTCTCAGGTGTTATGAAATAAACGAACAAAGTCCCGATGGCGCAGCATATAGCGAATATCCAGAATGTCCAGTGAATTCCTACAGTTGTATTCATCGCTTGGAATCCAAGACCAACGAGGGACGCAAATACCGATCCGACGACAATACCTAGGGCGACAGCAGTGCCCTTGACACTCGTTGGAAATAATTCCCCGAGGAGCACGTACGGCAGTGTACCAATACCGAGTACTTCCATTACGTCGTAGGCAATCAGCGCTGCTATCGGCAACCACGTGATGGAGGAGACATCCGCCTGGAGATGATACTTGAGGTAGAAGAATACACCAACGGCTACAAGAGCCACTGCTGCTGATAGACCTGAGAGCAACATGAGGAATCGTCTACCGAGACGATCAACCAGTCCAGCTGCTACAAAACCAGCGACTAATTGGCATACACCGAGGACAACAACTGCCTGCTCCGGTGGCAAGGATGAGCCACTGTGGGAGAAGATTTCCTGGGTATAAGCTACAAGTGCCATGTGTCCTGAGAACTGTTGTGTTGCCTTCAGGCCAAGAAGGATCAGGAGACCTCGACGATTGCCTCGCGTTCGCACGAGCTCTTTGAAAAGGTTCTTCTTGTTGCGCTCCCCTTCCTCAACGGCTTGCTGTCAACACCATTAAGGACTGGATTTAGTGTTGGGACTTTGAAAAATTTTATTTGTTAATCTGAAATTTTAGAGTTCCCGAGAAACTTTGGAATTTCCTGGACTCTTTTTCGAGAGAGAGAAAGAGAGACATCAAAGCCTTTTTCCGGAAAATTCAGAGAAATAAAATAAACAGCTGTCGGACTCCTTACCTTCATTATTTTTATGTCCTCCCGCACGCTCTCTGGATTCTTGAGTCTCCTCAGGGTCATGAGGCTTTTCTCAGCCTCCGAGGTCCTTCCCTTTATCAGGTAAAAATACGGGGTCTCAGGCATAAACGCGAATGTGATCATGAAGATGATGGGCACGGATATCGAGACGAGATTTAATTGCCAATACGGCATATAAGCGCCAACAGCTGTGACAAAGAGTGTTCCAATGTTGGCTGAGACCTTGAGAAATGTACCGAGGGCTCCCCTGATATTCTTATCGGCTATTTCACCGAGATAAATGGTGATCAAGTTGAAAATTCCACCATGGCCGATTCCAGCGATAAAACGCGCCACGTAGAGGACTATCAGCTTTTTAGCTGCGATTATCAGACCCCAACCTGCGACCTGGGGAAGTGCGAAGGTCAGCAGCGAGTACTTCCTTCCGATTCTGTCCAGGACAAGTGGTGTCAGGAGAGAACCTACGATTCCCCCGATAGTGTAGCAGGAAACCACCCAGGCACCCTCGCCCTTCGTTATCGGATTCGCCATTTCTGGGCCAGTGAGGTAGGGCAGAGCTGGAGATGTCCATCCGAGATGACCACCACATCCTATCACAGCCAGGCAAGCTGGCAAAAAAAAATGCACATTTATCCTCCTGTCCATCGATCACACAAGAATTTCAAAGAAACTCCTGGGGAAAAGACTCGGAATTTCCGTGACTCTTAGTGGTAAATTCAGGGGGAAATGATTGAAAGGGGAAATCTCGGAGTGAATCGGTAATTAGAACGCACTTGTCTCACTTGTATTCATTTTCCTTGGCGGGAATATTATTAGAATCACATCGCAAATTTTTTATGACAGTCTTTTCCTCGAACTCTGCATATTCATTGCGCCCACATCACGTGTCGCGACTACAAATTATTACCGAATTTCACGGCTTGCCAATTGCGAAAATTCTCCGATCGGTGTCACGTTAATGGAAACAGGAAATATTTAGTGTTTATCGTTGCATCACCGATTTATTTATTTTCTGATTGAAAGGGGTAATCGGCCGATTCAGCTAGTCAATCCATTTCATGTAATTAAACGCTATTCTCTGATTCACGTAACTTAGCATTCAGGGAATCAAGTGTCGATGGTGATCTTTTGCATTGCGCAATTATTTAGTTGTTTCCTCACATGTGGAATTGTCGCGTGTCAATTTAATAGCAGAGCGATAAAGATAGGTCGATTTTTTCAATCAAATAAAAAATAGAGACCGCAAGAGAACGCTGATTTCAGGGTGAAGTGTAAGAATATTTTTTTTCTCTCTGAATATTAATAAATCGAAAGCCCCGGGATAAATTGATAATAAAAAAATATTAAATTCGACTTATCTCCGGTTTCCATTCGCGACTGAATTATTCTGCTCGTAAAATTCACCGTCAAAAATTGAATCGTTATGAATCCATCCATGAAGTCGATGATCCATCGATTTTTCAGTCTAATTCGTCTGCACTGACAGATCATACCGAACGTGTACCGTGAAATATGTATTATGTGGATCCAATTATTTGTGTTACGCAAACGAGTTACAGATCTCACGCGCATTACCATTTTTTGTATTCGTCTCAATCCATTATGACTCCGTTTTTATTTCCAATATGATTTTATACTTCTCATAATATCCTCGACTCGATCTCTGATCTGATTTCATAGCAGTGAATCTTTTTCACTACTAACGTGATCGAGTCGATTGGAAATGGTGACCCAGTGCCCGTTAATTCCACTAAACATTCCTCAATGCCACTATCAGCAAATGTTCAATAGCTTACCGCTGATTGCTGCAGTAAACTGCAACCACTGACTGCCTTTTTCAGAAACACTCCGTTGACTTTCAATTTCCTTCCCACCAATGATGTCCAAAGCGACTGGAGGTTCATCAGTATGACGCAGACATCGTAATATTTTCTTCAAATGCATTTTTTCAATTACCACTCGTTACGTATTGCATTGAAAAATCTTCACTTCTCGTATGTCAGAGATAATGACAAAATGATCAATGAATTTGTCGGTGAGACGTGGGCTGTTGATTCGGAAATATTGAATTTTCAATGGGAAATAGAAAAATGAAGAAAAAATAATTGGATACAGACCACGAGTGTCGGGCACGTGGAGTGCCGAACTGAGTATTCAATGGTTCGGTACAGTGCCTTTTAAGCCAATTGACTGACAGGTGAGCTAATGGTGGGGTTTTGTATACAACTAACAGTTGCAACTGGCATTAACTTCCTGCAAAACCCCACTCTCGATATTTACCTGGTATTTGTCTGGTGTACAGTACGAGTTAACGTTCACCGAAAGGTACGTGTAGAATCACGGACACGGCCAATTGCAATGCCAAACATAAAGTCCCTTTGGCTTCCGACTTCTCCATACGATATTTTCATTACTCGGCCTTCCACGGAATTACACCACCCAATTACGCATTTTCAACAGAATTATTTTATCATTTTTATCCTGCGCATAATAACAGCCATAAAAGTTGCGCTATCGGAATAATTCATAGTTAAATTGACCATTCTTTTTTTCGGGTCAAATTCCGCAGCAATATTTAAAAACGTGAGAGGCAGATTTGAATGATAAATAGGTAATTCCCTAGAGGGAATACAAAACGAAATACTGGTTTACGATATCTTTATTAAAATCGCCCAGATAATTAACATCAGAGTCAACCGCTTAATATCGACAGGCACATCAATTCTGATTTTAAAATGAAGTATTAACTCTATTCATTATGTCAGCGTAACATTCCAGCGCCACTAGGTCTGCCAATACACGTAGCAAGATGTATGTGCATCCGGAAAAAAAAAATTCGAGCCCCTCGAGGATCAATTAAAACACTTACGATCTTGGAAGCCCGCCACATGGTGCATATGTAATGACTTTCACCTCTGCAACTACTCCGAGAAACGATGAAAAATAAAAAGACCGATAGATTGATAATTACGGCCGACTCAATCGCCTACTTTTCCAATCGCCAGAGTCATTAGCATTATCACGCAAAAACTGGATAAGCAATCCCCTGCGAGGAATGTCACAGGTGATCCACTTCACCACAAGATGAGCGTGTGGTTACGCAATGCGAGTAATTCCCCGTGAAATATGCGATAGCCTCAGCATTCCAGACTAGCTGTAGTCATATCCGTTGAGAATTAGCATTCCACAATATTATTTTTTTTTTCATCTGAAAATTCCACATGCCACTAGCGTAATCTCTCAATCAGCACGATCGCCAGACATTGGGGCATTATAATAATTTTAATAATTCCAATGATTCTAATAATTCGAATAATTAATCAGATCCAAAGCATTGGATAATTTCCTCAACATGATACACTCTTTATTCGGATTATTTCGAGTTGCAATGAGCATTGATAATTAGTGGTGTAAATATTTGTCCGAGTGCTCTCCATCTCGTCGGGCCGAAATTCTCGTGTTTATCGTGGAGATTCCTCAGGAGTTTTGGTGTCACATTAGTTGCCAGCTCGCGTACACTATCACCAGAGTTGAAACATGTAGTTGAGACCGAGGTCAACGCAGTACGAGACATACGAAACACCTGAGCGATTCGTTTTAACGTACTTAACGCGTTTTGCCATACGGAAATAACACTGGAATGTTAACGCCTCGTCGTGGGCCTCAAGGACATGTCCAGTCGTCTGTGAATGATCCGTTGGTCATGATAAGTCCAGATGTCTTCAATCATCCTCGAGTGCATGCAATTGTCTCATCGTGATTAATTGTTTTATTCGTTAAAAACAACAGAAAAAACCACAGATTAATGAGCAATGAGTGAATCTTTCTGGATGCAATAGTCAATCATCATCTTTCTCAACACTTGTCTAGGGCAGATCACCAATGAATGAAGAATGAAGACGGGGACACCAATGCGGGGTGCGCTGCAAGCTCCACCAATCACCAACAACCACCAGGTAGACCATGTAGCATAAAGGGGTGGCATGCTAGGATCACGTGAACTTCCGCCCCACCACGCCCACATCGTACTTCCATTCTTGCTACCACAACACTTACTCCAGTGATACCATATCATTCATCATCAACATTAATTCCTCCAAAAACAATTCAGGAAATTCATCAAATGAAAACATTTTGCGGCTCCACATCAACAGAAAAGGTTCATTGAAAAATTTAAAAAAATAACTCAAAATGCCTTTTTTCCTCAGCTGAAAAATATCAGGAAAAAATGTGAGGGATGCAAGAGATGCTAGGAATGCGAGGAATGTAGTTGAAACATTGAGCAATAGAAATTATCTTCACTCATTTTTATTTCTTATTGTTTCATTATTATTCAACACGTATTCCATTTGGCACAAAGTAAGCTCCCGTAAAAATAGTAATTACATTCTAAAGGAATATCTTATGAGATAATTCGAATAGTTATTGAGGAAATTTAGTGGGAGAATAAAACGAAATAATAATGGAAAATATTGTTATTCGGGCAAGGTATGAATGAGGAATTGAATAATTGATAAAAATACAACAGAGATACGAAAACTGACACCTGTTGCGAAATTCTGCAACTAGGGCTACTATCTTCAAGGGTCTCTTCCTGTCCAACCACCAGTGGTGATACCAAGTCGATTTATTGTTTGATATAAATTGAGAGATGGGGATGATGTTAAAAATATTGGGATTGAATTATCAATGTGAGAATCTTCCCACGGTGGATCTTTTCCCGAATGATATTGATAATATGAAGGAGGAGACAATTTACCCACGTAGTCGTTTTCACCAAGATTCCTCCTCATTTTAATGCCCGTCCACTCGTCGTCCTCGGGATCGTGTCGTACGGAACGACACGATAATGTTATTATATGATAGGTGATTCCAAGCACGTCCTTAATAATATCTTGCCGACGACGCACGACACACCCGCTTCCACCAGCTTCCCCACAAGCTTTCGTTCTTCAGGGGTTGAAGTTTCCAGTAGAAGAAAAGGTAACGCTGTACTGCGTGGTGGGCGTGCTAAAGTAGTGGATGTAATTCGTCCTTTACGCAATGTTGACGAGATCAGCTACGAGTTTTGACTACGAGTGGTGAACACATGTTTGTGGAAGTACCATGTACTTTGAGCGTGTGAATGATAGAGGCAAATTTTCATCGTGAGTTTAATCGAATTCCAGCTTCTTGAAGCTACCATCCATGCCGAAGAGGTCGAGGGTTGTTATCGCTTTTCCTGGACGTGTTGATTCATCAACTTGATATTTACCATCATCCAGGTACCAGTCTCGATGGTCCAGCACAGCATTCTTCCATTGCACTGAAATAAAAATTCCCACAATTCTAAAGATTCATTGCAGAATCTTTTGAATTCAATTGATCAGTTTGATGCTCATGACTTACGAGTTAGATCGGCTACAGAAGGCGCCTTGCCACCGTAGTCTGATGGCAGGACGTGCCTTGGAATATATTCAAAGACATCCTCTGGATCCTTGTGCACCATTATCTGCAAGAACCAATCCTCATTATTCCATGATTAAAATTTTCCCCTGGAGGCGCCTCAACACCAGTTTAAAAATTTTAAAAAATCACCCTATCTTTCAACTTCTTGTTCATGAACGTCTTGAAGACAGAGAAGAGAACATCGAACGTTGGTGGTGGACTGACAAAGTGCAAAGTCTTGGTTTTTATGGGATATCCTTCCTGTAAACCAATGTTGAGATAAAAAAAAATCAATAACAATTACTCGACGGCGCTATTACCCCCCGGGTCGGAGTGAAATTTTACCTGAAAGGCCATAACAGTTTTCTTCATCAGGGACGGTGTTAACTGGCTCGCGTGCTCAAGTCTGCTCCCAGTTAGATCGAGAACGCTAATCTGACCTGCAACATTGAGCCTTGCATTTCGCCAAGGACATTGCATGCATTATTTCATTTTTTTTCTGCTTTATCCCGATGGACAATCCATGAGTAACGTACGTGCGGGAATGCAATTGTTGTCGTCATGAGGAAATTGTTGACCTACCGATCGTCCTTGAGGAGTAGAAAATCCATGATCATGAAGCAAACTTTGAGGATATCAGCATAAGTGTATTTCTTCCCGTCGAATTGACAGGGTCGCATTAGAATCACTCTGGGACCATCCGGGGTCACTGGATCAGGCAGTGGCAAGTAAATTCTTCAAAACCACAGGAAAAAAAAACAATTTAATATTATTTGTAAAAATATTTTAAAAAACCAGCAGAGAATTAAGCATGTGACATTGCCCCTTGAACTCTCAATGATCGATTAGATAAATTATCGAGAAGAACCGATAATGAATGATCAGATTGGATTTCGATAATTTCAGGGATAACGATTGTCGTAAGTGATGTACCCACCCCAAGTCAAGAACCTCTCGAATAATCAGTTCCTTGGGATCTCTCTTCAGAAATAGCTCCGGAAGGTGCGTTCTTACTGTATAAAATGAATCAAGTTTCTCCTTGGTCCTCTCCAGGCTGTATTTACACCCTCGAAGAAAAGCCACAAGCCATTGCGAATCCACCCGAGCATTTATGTGCGGCTGTTTCTTCAGCCACTCCGTGATATATTTCACATGCTCAACAATCCGTTTCTCGTCTTCCTTGAGTTCCTTTTTTGCTACTTTACTCAATTCCCCGGTCAATCCTCGAACACTCATCGTAGATCTTCAATTAAATAAATATTGATTCCACGAGTTGAACAGAATTAATCGACAACCGAGAATAATGAGATCGACTCACAAATGAAAAATTACCGGATCATCACAAAATTCATTAAACACAATTAAATGAATTATTGATTTTGAAAAAATCTATAATTATTGAGAATTGGAATTTTTATTGATAGTTTAGTGAAACAACAAAATACCGGACATAAGCGGAGAACTGACAACAAAGTAATGAACGGAATATATTACGAGCAATGACAATGATACGAATCAACTAATGTGACCTTGAAACCGCCAATTCTCTCGGTACATTTCATGCCCATTCCAATGTCTCATGATTACGTAATGGGAGTATCGATAACCGCCCGGGTCCGATAATTTTATACTCAGTTAAAAAAAATTAAAATAAAAAATTTCGATCGCGGAAAAAAACCGATCATTATCTATGATTGACAGTGGACTCTAATTCACTGATAACACCCCTTCAATTGTAATAATTATAATATACTCTAGTCCCCAGCACTTCTCCGATTCGTTCATCTCCCCTTCGCAATGGATCCAATTTCCACATCATCACTTCAATTTCTCTACGAATTGAATTGTCAATTGAATTCTCAATTCATTTTTCATCATTAAGTCCTTCATATTTACGGCTGATTAAATAATTATTATTATGTTTAGTAACGAGCTAGTGATTTACCTCCTTAGAAATCGTCGGCACAAAGATAAATTCACATTAATTACTAACAAAGTCGTTACGAATATTATTGCAGGAATATTACCACCGATGAATTATGAATTCCACGGATTTAATTATTCTCAGTAACGTATTTATTCCCCAAGGCAGTTGTTATTCCGAGTACTGAATTGTTTATCATTGACAAGACACTGTATTCTGGGTAAGAGTATGACTTGCTTATCACCTGCAAGTTAACAGCCAACTACTTGCGCGTGTTCTCGATGACTTGTCTACCGGTCGAGGGCTTATCTGCGAGCACTTTACCGAGTATTGGTCAGTGCACTAGCAAAAATGATTAGTCCAAGTGGAAAGCCACACGCAATGTATCACGATGAAAGATATTTGTGCTTTATATTCACGAAACCGTGGGATCGATAACAAAACGTTTTTTTATGGATACAGATAAGTGCGGACAGGTTGAGATAAAAAAAATGAATTTGAAAAGGCAGGTGGTCATGACTCAACAGTACTGACGGATGTAATAACGAAAATTCGACAATTGAGTTTTACCTCATGATTTCTTCTCGATGAAATCAGCGCCTAAAAAGACCCAAAAGCGATTGCAGTAATTTTTAAAAAATGTGGGAATGTCAGGGATTTGATTTTTTTATGTTGAATTTATATTTCAATTTTCCATCATACAATATTGAACAATCTTTCATTTCGTATCCCATCTGATCATTACAAATGAATCATACAATACCTAAATATTCACTGGTGGATAACGACACCCATGTCTTCTAATTTATATCTGCGCTTCATCTAAAAAATCAGGTGCAAGTGAACACAATCTCTTGCTCAGGAGTAAAATGTTCCCGGCCCTAACTGGACAGTCTAGGCCAGTCAGCTAGTGACAATGAATTTTTCTATTTCAATTACAATCTCAAGGACGGCGATGTAACACTATCAATATGACATTTTTATTACACGTTGCATTTACATGATTTTTGATTTAGAACATTGAGATGATATTTCTTGCTTTCGCTTGGACGATTTTCTTCTCATTCGTTAGATTTTTTACGGTACGACGATAACCCACCACAACAACAGACCGACCTCGGGCTTCCTCTTCTACGTGACGAGCAACAGCCCAGACATGAGGTCCCTTTTCTACTTGAGCAGCCCATCCTGTTGGATAATCCAATACTCGTCATATTTATCGGTCATTTTTTTTGTGATGATTCTAAAGCTAATGGTCGAGTATAAAACTGTCAATCTCTGATACTCAATATTCCAGCCTGTTCGTTATTCTGGGGATATTACACTCTTCAAAATTTTTTCCTCAATTTTCTTTTATTTGTATTCATATTTCTTCCTCTCGGTCAGATTTTTTTTGAATTTTCAGTTGTAGAATCCTAAGATTCTATAGATGTTTCTACTTTTCCGAAAATTCAGCCAAATTTTTTCGAGTGTAATCTCAAATGATTCAGATGATCAATGCGTGTGGAACTCAAACTGTACAACAGGCCACTAATTCCCTCTCACCAATCACAAATAACTCTATTGACTCATTTATTGTACACATTTAGCAAATTAACGTATTCAAATTGTCGGCAAAGGATGGGTGAAAAATATGCTCTCAATTTTCGAAAATATCGCAAAGCATTTTACTATAATACATCACATGCTACTCCACGATCGACAGAAATTAACGAATAATCTACCATAAATCCTTAATCCATCAAATTTTTATCACATACAACATCCTATACTATCGATCAACATATACGAAATATCGATTACGATATTTTGATCGACTCCACCGAATTTCACGGAACAACTCACCTTAATCAAATAATTTTATAATTATTCATTATAAAATTATCATTACCTACCACTTCTAATTTATTCTATCGCCAGCATCTACTCGTTTCATCTGTTCTGCTCTGATTTCCTAATAATCTCTTCACAATTATTCACTCTAACTCTACCTCTGTCTAGATACTCTACTCGTAAAATTTACTCATGTACGTAATTACTCGACAATAATTCTGCAAAAATGAAAATATAAATAATCATACAGTCTAATTAGTCAATATTACAGATGTACGTTAATTTAGTAATGAATTTCCCGAAGAGAAACATTTTCTTCCCAATTTCAAATGTCTCAGTCTAATTTCGTTGCGTTATACAACTTGCCCTCTAGTAAAACGAGCATCAAGTTTTAATGGAAGAAGTTTTTCGAATGGAAGCGTCCATTTTAATTAATTACGCTGCTATTAACTACCTCATTATGCATTACACCTGTATTTTTTTACGTCGAGGAGTGAAAATAAATTCAATGCATCTTGGGGAGTTTGGCAGAACGAGGGATAGAGTTTATTGTGGTGAATTTAATCCCGACTGAGTATCACTTTCACAAGGGGACACGCACTTTGTGCTCTGGAGGGTGCCACTCTGGTTATCGGGGATGCTGTCATTCTCCTCGTCTCGAGGTTGACTGTCATCGAGCTCCTCGTCATCGTCCTCGTCCTCGTCCTCTTCGAGGAGTTTCTTCCGAGCCAGCTGGACTGCCTCCCATTCCCTGTAGTGACCTCTTCGCTTCGCCTCGAAGGCTTTTCGTTTCTCTGAGAGTAATTAAATTTTTTTTTCATTTTTCATTTTTCATTAACATCGGAGTGGCAAACCCAGGCGAGTTTAATTTTAGTTTTATCAATTATTGATGTTCCTTAAAAAGGCGACTACCACTTCGTTATCGAAATTAATTGGGGCAAGGTAATTTCTGAGTAAATATCCAGTGGAAAATTTCCACGTAGTCTACCTATTTAATTTGAAATGACTATTCAGCCCCTCCCATTTCATTTTCCGGATTAATTTCCCCACTCCCAGATTAATAATAGATCTCAATCATTGAAATGGAATGTTACCTCGCTCCTCTGGAGTCTCTTCATCCTCCTCGTCACTCGATTCCTCAAATATTTTCGGTTTGCTGCTCCTGGCGAGTCTGAAACCCAAGAAAAATCCATAAAAATGCGAGAGACCCATCGATCGAATTCGCAAATGGAATTAATTCCAATGAATTATTTAAATAATATAAATCATCGCTCACTCACTTGTCAGTGATAACCGAGGAGTCCAATTCATCGTCCTCGTGCTTATTATCAAATCCCTCATAATTGTACGGAGTTTTTGGCTCTTCAATTTTCATGTGTCCATAATCCTTGTCTGCTGGATGCAGTGTAGCAATGATATTCATCTCATCCCACTTTGTTTCTTTGTTCGGTCTAGATAACCAAATAAAATATACTCCCATGACATTTTCTCGTGCTGAATTTATAAATAAACATTACTCACCTCGGTGCCTCGTGGCTGTCAAAACTACTCGAAGTCTTCAAAATTCCCTTTGACGGTCGTTTCCCCAAATTCTCAGCCATGTTTTGCACTTTGTCAAAAATCTCTGCATATGAATCACCCACAATTTTTCAATCTCAATCAACAATTTAAATTCTCCACTCAATATTTCACCTGACGTTACAATATTAGACTCAATAATACCGGTGACCTAATTCATTTTTTTATTCCCTGTAATTGCTCGTTCATGAGTAAAAATCCAGGTAAGACGGAATGAAAAAAAAAATGAAACACTGAGGTAACTCTGCACGTTGCAAATTTCCTCCGATAGAATTTATGTTTCACGAGGAAACGATAGGTGGAGAGAGCTGTCCATATGGACCTGCGCAACAGCAGCGGCAGCAATCAGCTGATGTGCAGTCAGCATTCGGCTCCAAAAAATCTCATTGATATTATTTTGACGTGATATTATGAATCACTTGGTGACTTGCAGGTCAGCATCAATTTATTGGCCTTAGAGCATTTTATCTTCACTATTCAATCCATATTCTCGATTTTTTCCATTCGCTATTATCTTGGAGAAGGAAATTAAATCCTAACCTGTTGATTTTGGCAGATTCCTGCGGAATTCCCTCCGCTCCACGAATTCTTTGAAACCTCTCAGGAATTTTTCATCCAGCAGACTCCTGAGAGATTCTAAACCCACAGTAAACAAAACTGATGAAAATACTGTGCTAGGTATTTAAAATATAAAAAAGACGCGGAAAACCGCTTGTAATTTCACTTCATATTCTGTTGTTATTCCAGGGACTTTTAAACACAAAGTCACGAATTTTGACAAATGGATTCTTGTGACGATGAAGAAATTTCCTACCAAAGATCAAGTGCCACAATATGTCCCGTAAGTTAGTCAATTCGTTCGGTATTTGTTCTGTATTATTACGCCATTCCATAGTGAATTGGTGCAAGGCAAAATAAGCCACTAATTTCTCATTAATTCTTTAGAGACGATATAATGCAGAGTGCAATGAGTAAAGCGAGAATTCGTGCAATGAATATAATGATGGTGGTGACGATACTGTACGCCTTTTATATTGTGGTGACAAGTAAAAAGGCACAGCAGGAACACGCGAAAACCTTGGATTATACTCGCGAAGACTATCGCAAACAAATAACCGAAGAGTTCCGTCAGAAACTTACTGAAGATTCAGCAAAAAAAACACAATAATCGTCCAATCCTTAACTGATTTTTTAGTACCTCCCTAGTGATGCTTCCTCTGGTAATTCTCACTGTTTTGATGAAGAATTTTTTTTCAATTACTGATATTAGGCTATTGAAAATATTTTATGTACAAATCAAACTGGTTTTTTCAATTCTCAATCATTGGAATCAACGCCACTTTAGAGGAAATTAAATCATCCCCTCTCTTCATAAAAAACATCCACACAATTCCTTAAAAATCCGTTTGTATTTACAACATATGATAACAATGAATTTCACCTTCCTCCTATGTTTTGTCGACAAATGCAGGAAAAATCTGCAAAAGTAATCAACTATCCCCAGGGGAAGAATCTTGAGGTTTAATTCAATAAAAAAGTGGAAAATCGACAAATTGAATTTTACGATCTCATCAAAGATGGATTGCTCTCCGACACCCTTAATTTCACAGAAGAAAACCTCAGAGGACTTTTTTGTCAGAAATTAAATCAGCTCCCAAAAAGGTCTCTAACGTTTCCACATGGAATCAATGGGTTACGAGATGAATCGATATGAAAAATGTTAAATTCGGCTTATCGTTTTTCACCACCTCTGCACTGAATCAAAACGAAATATTTTCTATTTATCTATCAGGCCAACTCGTTTCTACAAAATCCACGAAAACAAGTCGAAGTCTGTCTAAAAACAATAGAATAACAAAATGTTTCATTCATTCGGTTTATAGAACCCCCGACATTTCTCGTGGTAGACTTTGCTCGTGCGGCTCTTGACGACTTCCTCGACACTCAATTCAGACTCGAGCATCCGGAGATTGTTCTGCTCCTTCCTAAGGGTCTTCAGAAGGGAAATATCATCAGGATTATTATCCTTCTGATCCTTCAACTTCTTCACTTTGTCTCGCGTTGTATTGAGACATTTTTTAATAGCTATCTCCCGTTGCGAGTGACCCGTCTGAATCTGATGAAATAAATCCTTGCACCTCGCTGTTGCATCTACCTGAGCCTTAAACGATTCCGTAGGAATTGTTGTATTCAACAGGTAAATTATTTTATCATCTATCTGTCGCATTTTCTGGAGTGCATCCTGCCGAACATTAATTAATTCATAATTATCAAAAAATCAACCCACCAATAAAAATAGGAAAAGAGAACCGAAAAAATCTGGAGGCATCTCTTTTCTCAGAAAAATACCTGAAATTCCAAGAAGTCACCGCACTCCATGACGAGGACGTAAATTAATCGTAGAAAAATAGGATTGAAATTACTTTGCCGATTCAGAGGCTTGGGAGCAGTTGGGAGCACACGCTGAGGGTGTTATAACCTCAAAAATAATTCTCAAATCAGTAACTCCATCTGTGAGGAATGGGCCCAAAAGGTGGCACAAAGTACTAAAGTACAAGCAATAGCGAAAGGCAACAGAATAAAACACAAGCAATAAGTTCTCATAGGTAAATCCAAAGAGGATTGACTGAAGTACAGGCTCAGGTCTGGGGGTTTGAGTGACCCCAGCGGCATTGTAGTACCTCACCCCAAGAGAAAGAGGGAGCGGCACCCAATGATGGTATAGTAATTCTGGTTAGGCTTACTATATTATGAATTCTTCTGGGTTAGAACTGGTTAAATATTTATTAGCTAACTCAGGTAATACAAAAGATAATCTTCATTTAATCCTCTTTGACTGAGCCTCTACTCTAGTCTCTAGTCTGTTCTCTTTGTGGCAAATGTTCATTCTAAATAGTACTTTGTCTATGACAGAAGGTGAGACTGAAGGCAAGTACTCAAAAGTACTTGTCATAGGGTATCGTATCAACCAATGCGACGAATCCAACGGTAGTCAAGGGAATTTCTAGTATGTATTGTATTATCCGATCACTAATAGAGAGAAGAGACAAAAGATAACGAGCAACTGCTGTACGTACAATTAATCGTACGATCGCAATCGAATTACCCGCACTGTCGTAATTAGTTAGTTTAGTGTTGATTCAGTCAATGGTGCCTACACAGTGTGTCAATTATCGGTTGTGGTATTCATCTGAAATGTACTATTCAATACCATTCAGTGCCATTTTTCTCGTTTTTATTGAATACGTGATAGTGGAGAAGTGTTTTGTGTGAAATTGTGAGAACAAGTGTTTTACCTGTGCTAACCTGAATTTTATCTACTGACGCAAGTGCAATAAATTATAAGTTATTCGTAATTCATCAGGAAAACGATTTCTACAGAGACAGGTAAGAAGTTAATTTATTTATTTATAATTCATTAATAAACAAGCTTTATCAATTAGGAATTAATCCACCAATTGAGTTCAATTAATTTTTTTTTTTAAATCCATTAAACCACAAAAATTTGACATCATTTTAGTAATCATTAGATGCTGTTTAAATATTAAACAATAGTTTTTCTCTGAATTTGTTGTGCTTAGAGGAAAACTCTAACCTAACTATAAAATTTTGTCTGGAGGAATTAAATAATGAGAGCTGATTGAATTGTAGATTAAAATATTCATTTGAGCAAAAATAAGAGAAACTCGAAAAAAGGCATTTTAAACTTAGAAGTTTCTAAATGGGTAGTCGAAATAGAATTCCAAGGATTCCATTGTATCAGACACGCATTGATCGACGCGCGTTTGAAGATTTCCGAGTTGTCAGGTGCATTAAAAAAAATTATCAAGGCTTTCCCATTCCTCGAATCAATCGAATACTGATGTGAAAATTCCCCGGGGTCTTGACATTGGGTAGTTCTCGTAGGATTCAGGTGGCTCATCCATTCCTGCAATCGTTGAATCGAGTGAAGGGAACGGATTGACTTGATGCCAGCAATAGGAGAAAAAAAATGTGAAAGGACCGAAGTCGAATCACGTATTTTCCCCGGGACAAACGTGAACTTCACAAGTATCAAACAATAAGCAAAAAGTTGTCGAAGTGAGAAGGAAATTCCGTTAATATTCACCACAAAGTTAGAGAGGAAAAAATATTCATAACTGAATAACCCATTAAGCCTATTATATGCTGGAGTTATGGAGACTAGAAAATAGCTGATGGATTCGTTAACGTGTGCCCCGGTGCCTTTGCTTTTCATGTTTCCACTTAATTGGTATGATACGTGATTTTTTTTTTCAACACTCAAACGGATAACTATGGGAATATTTTTTTCCTGTGCGTTAGAGTCCAGGAGTTCCTCTGCTCCAAGAGGTGAACGTTGCAGGTCATCATGTTTCTCACGCTCCGAATGCCGTTTACTTTTCTCAAATGTTCGATACAATAAAATCTGTATGTATTGTTTAATCATCTTCAGGCGATTAAATCACAGTGGTCATCGGTCGATGACGAACCGATTCAGAACGAATGAATTGGTAGCGCAATGTAGATAACATCCACAATTATCCTCAATTCATTTCAATTGCTATTTATCTAAAAAAAAAACAATTGTGCATTCCAGGTGAATGAATCGCCGAGAAAAAAATAGTTCCACCTTAAATCGAATCTAGTTTCAATAAAATTACTTTGAGAGCTAGGTTTATTGCTTAGAATAGAATGGATCGTTTAGTAATGCACCATTTGCCATGAAGACCGGTACAGATTTGGACTGGTGACATCAGTAACTTTCCGGATGATTGCCTCCAAATGAAAAGTCATATTAATATTCGTATGAACCTCAGCAGTGAAAATAAATTTGAAATTTATCGTATCGCTTTATTCCTGGAATTTTATTATTGCACCTGCGATATCTCCACAGGTAGATGATCTCTATTATCGATCAGAATGCTTCAGTCGTCGAAGGAATGTGAATTGAAGTATATCGAGAGAATCGTGACTTCGTGGTGCCTTTTGCTCAGACGTTTTGTGGGACAGGACTGAAGGCTTCACGTCTAGAAATTGCAGACCATCGATTACCCAGGGGCACGAATGAGCCATAGGTGGGGCAGAGTATGAATATTCATGACTAAAACCAAAATATTTGATTATCTTTTTACATTGATTTTTTATTTCTCCAGCCAGCCACTGGAGTCATATTGGATCGGCATCAGGCGATGGTCTAGAGGAGTCAGCATGAATGATGAGAATCGGATGGACTGAAGAGGAAATTGTACACGCGGTTGAGTGAACTGTTATTAAACATGGAGCCCCCATTGACCAGTAAAATACTCCGAGCTCCGAATCTCAAACGGGGCCAGGAAAATATCAAGATACAAGATCGGGTGAGTACGCTATACCCTAAATTTCTCGAATTATGAATAATAATTGGGCAATTCGAGATGGAAATAATTCGATAGCGTTGTTTTTTTTGGCTTTCAAATCACTGACATTTGCGTGCGTATTTCTTCCCGTGAATTATCGGTTACGAACTCAACTGCGTATCGGTCTCGACACGCGTGTCGATCCGATTTCCTGTACCACTGACTAACGGTACGATTCATCGATTGTTCTTATTGCTGCTCCCTGCGTCGGCTTTCGAAGCAATTCCTCTGGTTGAGAAGATGATCGTACGTCAGTGACTCGGGAATATTCCGTCGAAAGAAACCATCAGATCTGCGCGATTACGAATCAAACGAATCAAGTGACATTCGGGATACATAAATAAAATTGAACACGTGTTTTTTCACCACGAAATTCCGATGATAACCGTTACCTCAGTCTCGCCATTTCATTTTACGTGATAAATAATAATCTATGAATATGAAATTTTGTTTAATTCACGACAATTCACACATGAAGTCTCGTTTTTCGTAAGTAGATTCTCCTGGCGCGTTTCGTTCGGACTTGAAAAATAAAAAGCGGGAAAATTTTCGTCGCCATTATGATAATAGTGGGGGACACAAGGCGATCGGTAATAAGGAGGGAATAATGTTCAAGTGTAGTGATTTAATGAGTTTACCTGGGTACGTTCATGGATAAGAGTGGGAGAAAACAGTGGGGGATTCCACAATCGTCGAAGAAATACTACAGAGTTCAGTATGCAGTTCCACGTTGCGTTTGATAGTTGTGACTCTTTCTATTTCACCTTTTCACCTCAGTACACCAAAAAAAGAAGTAAAATTTCGATTAAATAATAATGGACGGCCATTAAAGTGAGCCCTGAGCTATGCTAAATCGAGAGTAATAAGAAAGAAAAAAAAACCTGTATGATGGTGAATGAAGTAGTGAAATCGTCGTTAAAGTATTCCACAATTACTATCCTTACCGAAGCAAATAGTGTATTCACAAGTGAAGTAGGAAAATCAAAAGATAAAAAATGGCACTGATTGCGCCGCGAAACAGCAGCCCAATGATACGGGATAAAGAACACGTTCCGGCGTATAATGTAAGTCGATATAAAAATCTTCGGTGCAAAAAAACCCTTGACAAATATACATTATTCATCGGTCCATATATTCACCTTGAGTGGAATGCGGAGTAATGCCGCTAAAGAGAGAATGGGGAAAAGAAAATAAATAGACGGGGAAAAATAAAGAAATTAACCGGGATTTCTACAGAAAAGGAAAGAGTATAAACAAAATTTAAAAGGTAAAGATCCTACGCGTTGTCTTGAGCTGTATCCGAGAGAAAGGTTTATCATTCATTTGGCTGCGGGCTGTAGGTTGTTATTCCTCGGCCTAGTTCCATCGTTTCGTTCTTTCTTCGGTGACGGTCACTAAATGTATGACAAATAAGGTTCAAGATTCCTTCTTCCGCCTTCATTGTCTGAAGAAAAATGTTTCCAGGTAGATTCAAACTTTAGCTTCCGCCGGTGAGAATGAAAGATCATGTGTAAATTGACAGAGTTAATTACGAAAGAACTCTGAGATAATGTAGCAATAAAATTCAACAAGACTTTGCATAGACAAATGCTTGGTACATTGAAAAAGGCGCGGCATCATCTGCGAAAGATATTGATGTATAATTTCAATGTCATGTGCGAGCGAGTTTATCAGTCGCGTGGGATGACGAAAATTCGATCTTTCGATTTTTCTCATCATTCTATAATTTATTTGAGAGTTCTTTGTAGTTTCCTCCTCTTATCAGCGCGGATTTCTCTTGCGTACATAGACTCGTTCACAGGTAATTGTTTGTATTTATTCTAGGGACAACCTTCTCCCGCGTTTATTATTTCCGCACATTGTGAGAATGTTTTATCGTTTTATTTAGCTGCGAGTTGTTCTCGGTGTTGATGACAATCCAGTATTTAGAAAAATTGATATTCATCTTTGGAAAATATGTAGACTTTGTGTTATGCAATGCAATCGTCTTGAGACATCGCTTCTTCAGGCCATCCAGATTTTTACATCATCCATCCCCACTTTTATCCTTAGAACACACGTATGCGATTATTTTTGCATAGTTTTGTTGTGTACGCTAGCCTTCTTCACGCCCTCTTTCCCATTTATGGACAGATAAGTGATGTATGCAGGTGTATGAAGTCGATTTAAATTGTAAGAAGGACAAAAAAGAAGTAGTTGAAAAGAAAACGAGTACTGAACACCAAAATACAACAGCCTTTGACAATTATTTCGCATACAAATGAATATATCGTTTTTTTTTTATTATCTTCTTTTTTATCCCGTGATGTTATTTTCCCTGGGAGTTCGGACCTGCTGGAATCTCAAATTCTCGCCTACACAAATGAATGCCCACGTTTTATGAAAATCATTCAGAAACCGCGTATCGAATATGACATCAGCCTACGAGTTTGAAAGATTTGAGCCTTGAAGCATTGAGAGGGCCACACACTGTGAATATTTGTAATACTGTGTTGTTTCAATGACTGAGAGACTGAATGTCATGATTGGTATATTTAACGATTAGAAATTTTAGGTGACGAGTTGGGGCGAACGAGTGTACAGGCTCGAGATGCTCGTGGAAGAGATGCTTAGGGGTATCCGGGCAATTTAAATTAAAAACATTGATTTGTTACAGATCAAATTAGAACGGGTGCTGGGCGTGACTGTATCGAGTAATGCAGCTCTCGATTGCGACACAACAAGTGACCTAGTCGCCTATCCTGCGGGGTAAGATCCATTTTTGTCGACACCGTCAATGTCCGACTCCCTAAGACCTGTCAATTATGCTAATTCAATAGAGTCTACCATTTTAATTGGCTCTTGCAATTCAATCGAAATGAATTATCTCACCAAAGTCAGTCTGAAGACTTCCAAACTATCGAGAGTCACCGACTGGTTTGCAATTATTTTCGAAAAATAAAAAAATAATAATCTTAATGACTTTCATCCGAGGAAATTGACTTTAATGAATAATTAATCTAACTTTCTTACTCGCAAATTGAAAGGACTGGGTGCAGCGAGGTCGTGTGAAAAGCTCTCGTGATTTTCCCTTCCTTTCATGACCCACTTAATCTAGGCGAATCATGCAAAATTTGGCCGGATGGAGATATTAATTTTCATTCTGAGAATAATTAAGTCGAGTAGTTATATGAATTTTTCATAGATTAACCATTACTCAGGAAGTAGCGTTCACTTAATTTAACGTCATAAAAAAAATCCCTCAACGACGAAAAGTCATCGCAGTCGAGTTATGCACCGATGTATATTGAATTTCATGTATTCATTAACCGTGACGAGATCGGGAGGCTCACGGAGAAAGCCAAGTCTTGAAATCTACAATCTATAGATCCTTAGCACCATTCAATGATTGAGTGACTCAATAATATTAAAAGATTAAAAAATGGATAACTGCATTTTATTGTATCAAGCTGCACTATTCTTGCGAATAAATTAGCAATTTTCTTCCGAATGAATTGCTCGCTTTCAAGCAGCTGTATTTTTTATTTTTATTTTATTCATCAGATGCAGAGCGTTTAGCGTAAAGTGTGAATAATTAATTCTAGATGCACTGTAGTTTTGTTCAACCCTCGGAAGAATACGCAGACCCATGTTCTGAATGGCTCACGAAAAACAGTGACATCTCTGGCATTATCTGGTGATGGTCGACTCCTGGTGACAGGCGAATGTGGCCACACACCAAATGTCCGTGTATGGGACATTTCAGATCCTCGGAATGCCATTCAAATAGCCGAGTTTCCCAGTCACAAATATGGAATAAATTGTGTCGTAAGTATTCACATGTCTTGCGTCTACTCTCCAGGGTGTGTTGACGCGTAAAAGCTCCTATTTACGGCAGTTGAAGAACTCCTTTTCTTTCCTACTTAAGTTGAAATCCATGAAGTAACACGTCGTATCCTCCGTAAATAGTAACGAAGGCGAATGGTTTTTTTTACCCAAGAGTTCACTGACTCCCTATAACGTCAGAGAAAATTGGCGCATTAAACTTAAAACGACCGAATTGTAATTCATTGTTTTACATTCGAATTATTATCGATAATGCAGCAAAGCGCATTATTAAAATGTATTATTATCGTGGGCTGTAAAACTTCTTGTAACTGTTCAATTGTGAATAATTCAGTGGGGAAATGAAAAAGTCCAGTATAGTTCAGGTAAATTCTAATAATTATAATAAACAATAATTAATACTTCAAACAGAATAAATTCCATTATCTCTAGGCATTTTCACCAAGCAACAAATACGTCGTATCCGTGGGCTCTCAGCACGACATGATAGTTAATGTCTGGGACTGGCGAAATAACGTCAAGGTCGCATCGAACAAAGTGTCGAGTAAGGTGAAGGCTGTGTCATTTGCGGAAAATGGCAATTATTTCGTGACAGTTGGTAACAGACACGTAAAATTTTGGTACCTAGAGTACTGTCGCAATGCAAAATACCAAGAGCCGGTGCCCCTCATGGGTAGATCAGCAATTCTCGGGGAACAACGCAACAATGATTTTGTGGATGTTGCATGTGGTTGTGGTGAAATGGCGGATTCAACGTACGCAATAACAAAAACAGGCCTTCTTTGTGAATTCAATAATCGTAGATTATTAGACAAGTGGGTAGAATTAAGAACAACAAGTGCCAATTGCATAGCTGTGGGTGAGAAATATATATTTATTGGATGCGCCGAGGGAATAATCAGATGTTTTTCACCAACAACACTGCAATTTATAACAACATTACCGAGAACTCATTACCTCGGTGTAGACGTTGCTCAGGGTCTGTCGATAGACCACATGTCACAACATCCGTCAAACGCGCGTTATCCCGATGCAATAGCCCTAGCTTACGACGAGCAGAACAATAAATTAACGTGTGTCTACAATGATCACAGTATTTATGTCTGGGATATTCGTGATATTCGGAGAGTTGGAAAGTCCCACTCATTTCTCTACCACTCGGCCTGCATTTGGGGAGTGGAGATGTACCCCAGTGGCAACGAGTCCGCCAATTCAATGCCACCTGGCTCATTTATCACGTGCTCGAGTGACGATACAATAAGAATTTGGAATCTCCAGAAAGATCTGCCACCCGATGAGACTATGTACAATCGTAATATATACAGCAATGAGTTGCTCAAAGTTCTCTACGTCGATCAAGAATTGACGTACCTCAAGGATTTGGATTTAGCAGCCGCCGGAACAGCTGACAAGAGTGACAGCTCGTACGACTCTCGAAATGGTGTGAGATCCATCAGAATCAGTCCAGACGGCGGACAATTGGCATCTGGGGATCGATCTGGAAATATAAGAATTCACGATGTATCAACACTCGACGAGATCTGCGTAATTGAGGCACACGATGCTGAAGTTCTGTGTCTGGAGTACTCCAAGTACACGAAATTCTCCACAAATGTCCCACGACTTCTTGCCAGTGCCTCGAGGGATCGATTGATCCACGTTTTCAACGTCGACGAGGGCTACGACTTCCTCCAGACACTTGACGATCACAGCTCCTCAATCACCGCTGTCAGGTTCTTCAATCAAACAAATCAGAGTGATAAATTACAAATGGTCTCGTGCGGGGCTGACAAAAGTATTATTTTTCGCCAACTACAGGGTACACCTGGGGGCTCACCCCAGTTCTCCAGAGGCCACAATGTCGCGGGTAAAACCACTCTCTACGATATGGAAGTGGATTCTGGACAGAAGCACGTATTGACCGCCTGTCAAGATAGAAATATCAGGGTGTACAGCGCAGCAACTGGCAAACACAATAAAACATTCAAAGGCTCAGTCGGAGAAGATGGGTCTCTGATTAAAGTGGTCTTGGATGCCTCGGGAATATACGTCGCGACTTCCTGCACAGACAAAACTCTCTGCGTTTATGATTATTACAGTGGCGAGTGCATGGCGACGATGTTGGGACACTCCGAGCTTGTGACTGGCCTCAGATTTAGCCCTGACTGTCGGCATTTAATTTCAGCCAGTGGTGATGGCTGTATATTTGTCTGGAAAGTACCCCACGATATGGTTGTGACGATGCAAGCAAGATTAGCTCAGCAGGCTATCAGAGCTGGTAAAAAAACACCTCTACCCAATGACAGCGATCAGCTTGACAACGAGACATTTGGTCCACCACCTCCTGAATTCTTAGATCCAAATGCCAATTCTACGATGCAGTCACTTATTGATTATCGATTCAGTGTTGGACAGTTGCCCCAGTGGGCGAAGAAACAAATTAATACAAGTGTCAGTGCACATGAAGAGACTGTTGTGTCGTCTGGGGTGAGATCTCTAGGAGTGGATATGCCAAAGGGAAGATGGGCCCAGAGAGTTCAGCAGGCTGATGGAATAACTGTTAAATCAGTTTATGACAGCGATGAAATTATACCTTTTCCACCTCCCCGTAGTGCCATAGATTCGGATGGTGGAGGTGGAGGGATGGGAGGAGGCTCGAAAGATAGTTCAATTGATAGTGGAACTGAGACAAAATGCAGCAGCGATTATCGGAGGGAGACAGTGATGATCAAAAGGGTGAGTTTCCTAAATAGAGCATATTTTTTATTTTTTTAATTAGCATGCTTAATTATTCCTCCTCCATCAGTCCCCTTTCTGAAATTGCAATAACATGTCTAGAATGTCGTCGATAAATAATCGGTCAACTTTGCATTTTAACAATTACCCCGAGCCAATAGACACGCAAGTATTTTTCCTGTACCAGATCTGTAAATCATGGTGACATGCGCAAGCGAACTTATACCACTAAATTTATTTATAGCTAGGGCTTAGTCATAATGCTTATTCATAACTGCCCTTTAGGTTGATGACGATCTCAATATTTTCCGTCCCTGTCCTGATAGTTACACAGAGTTGGTGGATTACTCTAAGCAGGTACTAACACGTGTGAATTTCATTACTCATTATTTTCATGTGGAAATGAGGTTTGTCGTTCACCTCTCGATTTTATTTTAATTTTTTTACTCTACCTATCCTAATTTCTTTTTCATTTCGCATTGCAAACGCGATAGATGACGGGTGGCAACGTAACAGTAACTAGAGGTAACAATGTCACGGAGTTGATCGTACGTCAATCGAGAACACGACACCACACTGATGATAGCAGTCTTGGAAGTTTGAAGTTTGAGGTATTAATTGCCATGAATTTCACGTTAAATTACCCGACTAACAGAAAAATTCACATTTACATATTCGTCTTGCTATTTACTGAAATTCCATCCTGTAAATTCAAATCAACTCTCAGTGTACCACTTTCTATAGACCAATTCGCTGATTCTAGACATGATATCAGTGGAGAAATTTGAACCGTCGATTTTTAATGTTTCATTGAAATATCACTGTTACCCGTCTCTGTATTTTTTTAAATTTAGTGTCCAGAATAATTTTAATGAATAAAATAATAATTCGAAATGGAATTTCTATCTCGATTAAATTAGGATCATGAGAGTACAGAGCATGATGGCGACGTAGAGGATTACTCCGAGGGTGAGAATGGAACGACAAGTTCGGAAAAATCTCATCATCATCTCATGTACTATCCACCCACAGAAGATATTGTATCGAATCAGTTCAAAGTGAATGCCATGGATGTAGAGGAGCTCAGACGATCTCAGAGGCGGAACAAGAAGGTACGTGGGATAGAGTCAGGACGTAGTGAATTGGCATCGGGAAGCCAAGAGGATTCAGACTCTGAAGGAGGTGCTTCGACTCCCAGTGCGGAACGCAATCCACTCTCAATCCTGTCAGAGACCAGTTCAGAGGGTTTCGACCAACTCGCCAATCAGAGTCATCGTGAAAAGTATTTGAAAAATGCTTTCGAGTCGCTTAGTGGAGCTGACGAGCCAACGAATCGAAAAAATACGAGTATTAGCTCACAATTTCATGGAAGGTAAACATTAACCATCGTTAATCAAAAGATAATTGCCATATTTTCCTCGAACACATATTTTTTTCTCATTTCTCAGAAATAGTGGCGGGGAGATCGGCAAGAGCCGCGTCCCACAGAAAATAAATGCACCGAGCAATCCAAAGAAGGACACGAATGTATCGAAAAACCGAGAGGAACTCAAAAGACGCATCGAAGAAACTCGAAAGAAACTCCAAAGTGTAAGTGTAATTTATTGTGTAAAATTCCTTGCACTGGGACGATTTTGGTAAAATATTATTCGTTTATTATTCTGCTTTTTGCAGGTCGGCTACAAGTCATCATTAAAATCAAGTCAAAGTATTTCAGACCTGAGCAGTCACATACCGAATCGTCATCATCGTCAGAACCGGATCGGAACAGGTAACCTTTCATCAGCCCAAGTGATTCGTTATGCAATACCGACTAATCCTATTAAACCACTGAAGAATCAAAATACTCAACTAAAACCTGAACTATACACTAAAAATCCAAACTCAAATCTTTATAAAATTCACGAGCCCATTGAAAAGATCATTCCAAAAAGCCAAACGATGTCAAGCATAAACGAACAAATTTGCACGAATCCCAATCGTCCACTAACTCTGACACTGAAGAAAACCGAAAAATATCAGTTATCACTGAATAAACCCAATCACTCGCTCCCAAACTCTCCAGTCTGCGAGGAATTAAAAATATTGAAAAAAAAGTGTACAAAGAGTGCGAATAGCTTTGCTAAATTCGCCCAAAAACGCAGATCTTGCAGTTACTTCATTGGCATCAACGATGACTACGAGAATTTAGAAAAAATGACAAAATCATTTGAGAGTTTACCAGCAATGAACGACCCACTATCCACCGCTGACAATGACGATGGAAATTTTAGTGACGATTCATTAGAAAGCGAATACAAAAATCCACCGAGAAGATGCATAAGTGAATATCAAATAAATCTCAATACAGATTCTCAAAATCTAACCAGAATGAAATTGAACGAATCCCAAGAGAGCATTTTGTCTGATGCATCGATCGAGGGCTTTGATTGCATTCAGTACGAGAATGGCAGGCACTCGAGCGCGAGTTTTTTCCTGTCACGTAAAAAAATGCACGGGTCAAGAAGCCAGGAGAGTATCTTGACAGACGGCACCGAGGATTATCAAACATTTCCTTTACACGAGAACGAAGACCACAGAAGTACTGAGAGCGTATTATCAGATGATTCTGATTCGCTCGTTAAGTCCGCCCCACTCGAGATGCTATTCGATTCCCATTACAAAAGAAAACGACAGAATTCAGAAACATACAGTGCAAACCCAAAGAATTGTCCAGAAAATAACGAGAAGATTGAGAATCAGGGTTTAAATTTGTTAGTGCCAAATCGTTCGGTCTTTCGATCCAAATCCCTTCAGGATACGAGATTAAGCACTGCGAGATCAGCGATTAATTATACAGAGGAGAATTTCCGGCCCAATCAAACGTGTATTTATTATGAATTCAATATCGACAACACAAATGAATACGACATGAAAATTCGCAATCAAAAATCGGAGATTGGACGAAGTCACAGCCTTCGAATTCCCAAGGCACCGCAGTCTGCATTAATTCTTGATGATTTTGTCCCTCATAAACCTCCGAAGCCCACGCGAAATTTGTCGAGAGCTCAGAGCATGAAAAATCGTACGAGACCCACGTGGACTAGATACAACCAAGTGGAGACTCATTCCAAGTCATTAGCCGAGTCAGATAATCCCCAGAAAAATTACGTAAAGGAAAGTCAAAAAGATCCAGTAAAAAATAAATCCGAAGAGTCACAGAAATCTTCTCAAGAAATTCAGACATCCACACGCGTCACGAACATCGGAATCGTCTCGACGAAGATAAACAATTCAGATCGACTGATTATCGACCGAATCGAAAGGCAATTCGAAAGATTCGAGAAGCTAGGAAGAACTGAAAAATCCGCGCGAGCTGAAGATCTCGATCGAGACAGTGGATTTGAAAATCAAGTGCCGACGAAAGACACCGAGAATTACGACTCGTTGGAGCCGAATGGAACGTCTTCAGCGGATGTCTCGACATCAGAATCACAAACCCTGGATTCAACTCTGGACGTAGAACGTAAGACTGGCAATTTCAATGGGAATGTCGACGTGAGGCTGACACGCGCTATCGAGGGAACAGTAAAACTTCTGTCTAAGGAATTCGAAAGTCTAGTCCGCCGAGAGCAGTATTTTACGAATGAGAAAAAATCGTGGCGCATTCAGCCGAAGGAGCAGGAGTATTTCATGAGGAGAGAAAATGAGAGGAGCCGAGGATTTATCTTGAAACAGGAACGCCGACGTAGTTCGGGGGGTGAAGACAGTGACTGTGCACTGGACAAATCGATGTTGGAATCGGGATCGTCGACGACAGGCTCGAGTTGCACGAATTCACCAAAAAGAGTGTGGCCACCAGCCTCGAGATGCCAATTGAAGTGGACTAATACTATTCTACCACTAAATCATAGCATTCTACCGTCTAAACATCACTTTGCGACAGGTACTGATCACCAACAAAGTCGATGTCTGCAAATACTTTATTTTTTAACATCTCGATGTTGTAAAGTATCATTTGTCAGAAGTCTGCACGTGGCTTGATATTAGATGAGCAATTCATACAAAGTGGAGGTTTTCACACACGAGAGACACCAGGAGATCATCAACAGAAAATAATCCCAAGAATTCGTACACAGTATTTTGTTGGCTTTTTCTTATTCAGCATGAGCACGTTTATTATCATTTATTTCAATTCTCGTGCCTATAATTGTGGATAATTTATGGATATCGCAATTATCATCGTTTCTGTTTCGCCGAGACAACAAAAATTCAGATGCTCTCGGAGATAATTGAACCGGTTATTTCAGTGATTATCAGAATGCATTTATTCAATCTATTCAAATTGATTTCCTTCGGCCCGATTACCTTCATTATTTTTAATCCTCCGGTACTAACGCTCGAGTTGTTATAATTGTAAAGAGTAGTAGCATGTGCATTGCGTGTTGTCGACAGTTACGGGAGCAAGATGCGATAATTCAACGAGTATCAACAACGAGGACGACGAAGGGAGCGGTGGTATGAGACGTGCCTGTTCCTTGAGTGATTTGTCTGTCAACCCATCCAACAGGTTACTGCATGGTCCGATACGAGGTATCAGTTTGTTACTCACTTTTACGTTCCTTTTACACTTTATACATTTTTTATCGATATCACGATTGCACAATCATCATCGTCAATTCATTGATATCGACATATGAACGGTAGTTTCAGGTAAAACGTCTAACAAAAGTTCAAGTCAGTCGAAAAATTCGGCTGGAGGTGCCTCTGGATCAATGTCCTCCAGATATGGATCAAGCAAAGTGCATTCGAATCATATGACGCGGAGTAGCAGCGTTGGGGTTTTGAATCAAGTGAGGCATTTAGAAATTGATTGAATTGTTTATTGGATGTTTAACATGCGTTCTCATTTTTTAGCAGAGTGACTCGGAATCTGACGCTGGCATTACGTCGGGTGCTAGACATTGGGGGAATCCCGCGCAGAACAGTCGAATGAGTGGTTTGATGAGACCCACCATAAGCTCTCAAAATAAAATCAATCACCAGACGAAACAGAGCTCGAGCTCGAGCAATAATCTGCCCATGGTATTAAGAAGACGAGGCATGCAGAGCTCTTACTCCAGTGGTAAATTTCATTATCCATTTGTTCTTTAACAAATTCGTTAGCAGAGTTCATGATTTTTTTTTAATTTCCTCAGTAAATCTAAGTCAAGTTGGTAATCAGGAGGATTCGAGTTCAGAGGACACATCGTCTAATGGAAATAGTGTGAAACCCATGCTACCTCCGAGACCGAAGAGTATCAACATAGAACCTTCTAGGTAATTACAGATATAAATAATTCTTCGAATTATTGATTGCTTGAATTTCTATTTTTAATTTGCGCTTGCAGTTTAAATCTTGTACCGACGATTAGGCGATCTGGCTCAAACACAGCATTAGCTAATGGCAGATCGGTGAGTTCAATCGCTCAAGGTGGCCCAAGGCTCTCGAATCGAAAGCAACTGGACCCCAGTCCACAAGAACTTCCTGTCAAAGATACAGATCAAACGATCGATGTTGTTAGCGCCGAATGTAAGTACTAAAATATTAATCAACTGATAACTATTAATCATCGCACCACTAAAATCATCTTTAATATTGCAGTACACACTGATAGAAAATTAGGTAAACATCATTCTTAGAATGCAAAAAACTACTTTATATTCTGCTCATGCAATCCATACAATCAGATGTATTTATAGTTAGTTATGATTGCATGATGATTAATGCTGCAAGTCGTTACTGAATGATTAAATTCGAGCGATAGTTTCGAATAGATTTGAAAGTCCTTTTTAATGTCTTGCGTTCTCAGATTGGAATGCAATTTTTATATTATTAATGGGATTTTTTAGTGTCACCGCAGCTGTGCAACACGATCGCAGACGAATTAACTCGCACTGCTGACAATGTTGTCCAACTTTATAAAAGATTGACACTGGATCACGGTGGAAATTCTTCTGGAGAGACAATCGACAGAGATACGATGTTACGTGGTCTAGAGTCATCAGTAAATGAGGCAATGAGAACACTGCGGCTAGTTGCAGCTGGAGGGAGCAATAAAGAGAACGATGTAGAGGGGCAATTGCCGGCGAACGAAGCGACCGAAACATTTCAAGAGTTGTTGGCCGGTCAAGATCAAGGTAGAGTCGTTAATATGATGCAACAATATTCAGATATGCTGTTGAGTATGATGCAGCAGAGAATGGGAGGTGCACAGTCCAATCATGTGTGAATATTCATTCCCTTCGATACAAAAAGCCTTTAAAAAATTATGATGCCAAGGATTGAATTGAATATTTTTATTAACCAGTTTCTCCAACCATGGGATTAATTTTTTTTTTTTGCGCCCTAATAAGGGAAATGCAACAGATGGTCGTGTAGAGAGAAATTAGGATGCCAAGGATTGAATTGAATATTTTTATTGAACTGTTTTTTCGAGCCTTGGAATTAGTCTTGCGTTGATGAGGGGAAGGCACTTCTTAAATATTCAGACTTATTGAGGTATTTAATGTTGGGAGCAGTCAGGATTTTTCAGTCTCTTTGATCCACTGCTACTTTCATCACAGTAATTATCTTGTGAAAAGTGAGTGGAGCTGATTATTCATAATTCATGTATTCGAAAATCTCTCGATTTATTAATGATGGAGGCCATGGATTCGTGCGTTTCTCCTGCAACTGGAATTTGAGAAATGTAATGCCGTCGGGCGATAAGCCAAGAAAATGCCAATTACTAAAGACTCATGCTAGATTTATATAGAACGTGGTAAGTGTGCATCAATTACGATGTTAGTGTTTCATTTATCGTTTATGTAACCAAAGGCTGTTTGTAATTACAATGTGTTAGTCAGATATAAAATTCGCTGGAAATATGAATGATGGAATAACATTTCAAGTATTTCAGGAAGAGATTAAGTGAATGCACTCGAATCATCCTAGGAACCTAGTAAAATCATTAAAATGCTTCAATTACCTTTGGGAGTTATATTCGATGTCAAACGCTCGTCGGTTTTTCTTTCTACATTTTCCTGGGTTAGAATGAGTGAGTGTTAAAAAAAACACTGATTTTCGCCCCATACTGAAGAAAGACCTTTTCTTTTTCTTAAATACTCTCATTTATCGCCGGCGGAAAAAATTATAGCACTATGAATTTTTCACTTCCCCAGTTCTATTGTATAGTTCACCTGTTTTAATGTGCCATTTATTGTGACGAACAGCTTCTATTTGTATGTTAAGCATTTAATTTCAGAGGTCGACGTTTAAAGTTGATTTTGTTCGTAATTTATTTTCGACTTTCGTTGTGTAACAAAGACAATTAATTGAGATAATTATTAATTATTAGAAATAGATTATTTATCGCAGTGTTTATCGATATTTGTGTTATGAATCGAGAAAGAAATATTCTTTTAAATTCTAGGAAATGTTCAGTAAGATGATGAGAGTGCTTTTGTCTATTTGTTATTTCCATCGTAATACACGTCTAATGGGGTATGACTCAAACTAGAATTATACATGAGAATTCGAAATTTACATTGGCTTATGCATTTTGTAATTCGTATTTTATATCAGTAACGGAGCAATACCATAATGTAGAATTAAAACGAAAAACTTATTTACGAGATAACAAATTATTCGAATCTCCGAAATGTTGGTCAATCGTCTTATGAATGGAGATGATGAGTGCTCCATATTCATTGTAATAATTGCCAAAAAAAGAATATATTTTTAATCATAAGCAGAAACATAATGTTTGATGAAGTTCTTTTAATAAAATATGCAACAACACTGTGTTTTTACCATTTAAAAAAGCATAGATATAAATTTAGAAGTCACTTTCCTCCCCCAATTCTATAAAAAAATAGTTGAAGAATTTCTATTCCCATACTAAAATTGCAAAAAAAATTCTAATAATAACCACTATAACAATAGGATCTATATAATCTATAATTTTTCATTTATTCAGAAATGGATTCCAAAGAAGCGATGGGGGACTATCGTAAGCCCCACAATATAACGATTCCAATCCAAACAAGTCAAACTGGAATTCAAAAATATGAAGAATGTCAACCAGTTGTGCATCTATCTCTCGAAAATAGTCTCTTGTCCACACAATATAATATCGATAGCATCGAAAGTAAAACTAACATTAAAAATCTAACAAAATAAATCTGCAATCCCATTCGTCTCGATGGGCTTATCGTCCATTAGCCTGTCTCAGTTCTTCGAGCTGAAAATTGATAATTCATTCATAAAAACAATCCGTCAACTCTAGATGTTTTCCATTCAATCTCTCACCTCTTTCTCGTCATCCACTTCGTCCTCGTCATCGGATCCGTGAACAGAGGCAGCTGGAGTTGTGATACGAGAGGAAGAAGGAGAAGGTGGTTCACTGAATGGTCTAGGATAACTGAATTTCCCAACATTCTCATCAGAAAATTGAGAAGCGAATTCTGGATAAACTGTCGTGAGTGCCTTTATCCTCGCTTGACGATAGTACTGTAATGGATAATGGAATATTAAAAATTGAAAGAGATAATAATACGAATGGAATTTTCTATTCAACTTACAACTCCCAGATTTCTCCAATCAAGAAGATCACTCAACCGCTCTGTTCTATTTCGTTGAATAATTCTCTGTCTCCTACTGAGACGCGCAAAATCGAACATATACTGCGCCAACTGCTGAACACTAGCTTCAACATCAATGAAACGTCGATCCACGATGTAAATGCCATAGCTCATGGGGTCAGCGATGTGATCGTGCATGAAACAACCGAAACCAGATAAATTTGTTGTAACGCTGGGGATGCCCATGACGGTGCATTCAGCTGGAGTGTATCCCCATGGCTCATAGTAGGAGGGAAAAACCCCCAAGTGGCATCCCCTGACGAATTCTTCATAGTCCAGGCCAAACAGCGGATTCGTAGAGGACAGGAATTCGGGATGAAAGACAATCTGCGAAGAAAGGAATAAACCAAAGCGTACAGATTAATTTCAGTGAAATTGGAATAGAAGATGAGAGATGAGAATAAAATAAACAATTACTTTGACTCTGTCATGAACGGTATTGAATAAATTGCATCTGCGAATTGCTGTCAAGATCGGATCGTTCCAGTCGTCGACTACATTGTGAGTCGTAATCGGTGGGAGACCATTTCGTTGTAGAGCGTACAAACACCTCTTTATTTTAATTATGTCGTCTTTCAGAAGTAAATCCTGAGCATCGGGCAGTCTTCCGGATAAACACAATTCATACATCCTCTTACCAATATCCTGTTGGATAGTGTTTATGGTATCCCTCAGGGATTTTGTCACCGCGTGTCCACGGAGTGACTCGACATTGAAATTATTCGTGCGCGCTGGGAATATCATAAATGCAACGATCGTCACATCGGGCTTGGACGTTTTTAAATAATGATTGAGTCTGGCAAGTGCCTCGATGAATATATCCGCTCCCTTATTTCCAAACTCATAGCGTCCGGCAGTGAAGAAATACAGAGTCTTATCGAGATCGAAATCAAAGTGACCGTAGAAATGTCCACGTACAAATTCGTGAATTTTCTCTTTGCTAACTGCATGAAGATTTTGAAATTCGTGGAGTGCTGAGAACTTCTTGACATTTAGACCATTCGGAGTTATGATGTCTGGATCGCGTTTGAGCAAATGTTTTGCCTCGATTCCAGTGATATCGGAGACAGTGGTGAACACGTGGCAGAGATGAGCTGCTGCTCTTTCCATGCAGTATCGGTGGTAAATTTGACGTTTACCCGCCTCTTCGTCGACGTTGAATTTATCCAGATTATTATAAAAGTCAGTTTTTCCAGCGCAGAGGTATCGCCCGAGGAGAGTCGCATGAGTTGTGAATACAGTGGCAACATCCACGTGTCTTGTCCTGAGGGCGATGATGCCAACACCTGCCTGCCACTCGTGACAGTGAACCAGGATTCTGGGGGGCTGACTGGAGTAACTCTCAGCAGCTTTTCTGAATTCAGATATAAACTGGCACACTAGGTATCCCATTATGACAGCGTCGTTTGCCTCGATGTCCAGATGAGGAATCCCCAGGTTGGTGGAACTCCACAATTCCTGCTTGTACTCGTCCAGTTTCCACGATGCTGATCCAATATCGAATAAAATCACCTGGGGGTTTCCGTCAACCAGCCATGTACCTGTCACCACTTTGTATCCTTGATCTCTCATACTCTGGACTGCTGTTCGGAGAGGATTGTGCAGGGGGAATTCAGCCTCTTCTACTTCTGTTCTGGCGCATTGTTCTTTGAATGGACCAATCATACAATATTGATCTCCCAATTCTTCGGTGGATACGTAAGCCTTCGATCTGATCACTGTGTAAATTCCACCAACTTTATTGGCAACTTCCCAGGCAGCCTCGAAATTCCATCTGTTTTCCTGCTCTGCGGTGTGTCCTCGGTCCAGGAATCCTGACAGGTCGTGGGTGCTGTCCATACGATAAAACCTCCGAGACGCGCGTTCCTTCGACATCTTTAGACGATTTTTTCAGGTAGTTATTCCCTACAAAGATAATAATTCGGGGATTATATCTTCATTAGGCAATGATTATATCACAGAAAAATTAATATTCACTACGCAACGAATTCGAAATAAAACGAAATCGAAGTAAATCCTCTAGGGGAGGAATTTCGGACGACCAAAGATCACAGACAAATGATGTTATCGGAATAGAATCTCAACGCGACGACAGACACTCATCTATAGTTCTATGAACTTTAGAACTCCTATCTCGAAATTACTTAATTTCTCAGATAAACAATAATGAACTCAAATAATTTCCTCACACCGATAGCAACAGTCACTCAATTTCGAGGGATGAGAATCGAAAAAAAAATGCACGCTGCAGCCTTAAATGGAATTTTCACTCTTCAAAACAAGAACACTTCAAAAATATTTCGAGTGCGTCTGACGCAGGGGAAAAAAATAATATTTGCACTACCGAAGAAAATACCTTTTAGAAAACTTAAAACTTCTGAAGTAAAACGGGAACTGTTTTTTTTTCGCTGAATTCTTGACTCAGAAAATTGAAATCAACGGGATAGGTGCTGAGTGCTCAGATCTTAAAATCTTCTGAGAATGAAGGTCATGAGGGCCACCAGGAAGGTCACAGTTTCGTCTCTTTCGGTCTTACAAATGTATATTGAAATACTTCTATGCACATGTTTCATTCATGGATTATCATGAATTCAGCAGATGGCGCATGTTCACAACGTGAAATTCGAATTTGGCCCGGTGACACACTTATATCCGAAGGTCATTCATCTTTATCACACATTTTGCAGTGATAACAAGGGCGTTATCAAAGTCGACGATACCCCAAACTCTGCGAATTCTTCATTTTGCATGTATTCGAATTCCACAACGAAAAATTCTCATTTCCATTATCAATCATTTCCACTATTTATTACGATCATGTTAATCATTTGGGGATTATTCCTCACCCCCTCTTATCATTTATTTCGCCAATTTTTCAAACTAACAATTTCAAAATTTTTTTGCTGACTTATTAATACTATGTTACGAAATCTATAACTTAATCCATTTATCTCAGCTGATTAATGAGTTGATCGTTCAATTTATTTATTTAATCAATTGTTTATAATTGTTTGCTTATTTTTCTCTGTTAATTGTAAAGTCGCTGGACTTCGTAGAATAGTCTCAAGATGGCGTAATTCATCTGTGACTGGAAAGAAAATCATGTGGCGGTTTCGTATCTCAATTTCTTATTTGCTCTAAGGATTTTTCAGTATTGTCAGCAAAACGTCAGCAAAACGTATGCAGTGATAAGAAATTGTTGCAAATCAGTGTTGGGGAATTAATTAACGAACTGAACTAGTGAATAGACAAATAAAAATGTCTGACTTGAGAGATTGGATAAATTCTCTGCCAATGTTCACACGATACTGGCTACTCTCCACAATCGGTCTTTCACTGATTGGGAGATTTGGGTTATTATCACCTCACATGTTGATTCTTCTGTACGATCGTTTCATTCACAATTTCGAGATCTGGAGAGCCATCACTAGTTTATTGTTCTATCCACTCAATCAGGCCACTGGATTTCACTTTATGATAAATTGTTATTTTTTGTACCGATATTCGTTAAACTTGGAGACTGGAGAGTATCAGGGAAAACCAGCTGATTATGGATTTATGCTATTGTTTAATTGGATTTCTTGCGTTGTCATTGGACTGATTGGTAATGTTCCATTGTTGATGGATCCAATGGTACTCAGTGTACTCTATGTTTGGTGTCAGCTCAATCAGGATGTCATCGTCAACTTCTGGTTTGGTAATTACAAATTCCCTCTGATCTTTAATTTTTATTCATTATATCTTATCGCTCTATAATTATCTCACACTTGATGAATTTTTTTTTCTCTGCAGGCACACAGTTCAAAGCAATGTACCTTCCTTGGGTCCTGGCAGGATTCAATTTGATAATCTCTGGAGGTGGAATGCTGGAGTTGATAGGAATTCTGGTTGGACATCTCTATTTCTTCCTAAAATTTAAATACCCTCAGGAGTACGATGGCCCGGAGTTGTTAAATACTCCGAAGATATTGGAGCACTACTTTCCACCCCATCGAATCAATGTCCATGGATTCAGTGCTAGTGCACCAAGGACTGGAGGACAATCAACCCCTGGAAGAAATATGTTTGGGGGATACCAGTGGGGCCAGGGACAACCACTTGGACAATAAATCGACTGCTAGATTATCATTATTTTTCAATTCAGATTCATTCATACACTCGAGGGTTGAGTGTAATTTATATCTTATTTTTGATGAGATGGGTGAACATCACAATTGTAAATAACTGTCGGTGACTTTAGTAATTAATAATTCTCTAGTTCAAAGTGTGGAGAGTTGTTTTGTTACTGAGACTATTTCATGGATATTCCAGTCGGATACACAAACGAATTCTAGAGATTTATTGAATTCATTCACATCCCATGATTTTTTTTCGATGAAAACATTTCCTCAGGAAAAATACTGAGATTTGTTCAAACGTTTTTACACTAGTCTAGAATATTTTGGTCACAGTTTTGGTTGAGTTAATCATGTATAATGGGTTCTTGTGGATCTGTTAATAATAACGTCTTCGTGTCATTATTATTTATGAATAAATGGATTGTAAGGAAATAAATGCAACGAAATTGTTCAGCTCTCCTCAACAAATTACATTTTGAGGATAAATCCTTTGGAATTTTTCTCTCAATCTTTTCATAATTTATTCTGCCTAATCTACAATGCTTACACACGCCGAAATTTATTAGCGTCTCACAAGATTATTCTTCCAACTTCTTTATCACTTCGGGGGATTCTCCTTTGGTTTTTCCGGCACAACTTCTTCAACTGAGGAAGTCTCTCGAAAATTGGGAAATTGTTCCCATGGAGCTGATAGTTCAAATCTCCTAAACTCTTGGGCTAATTCGAGGGGCTCAGCTACGACTCGTTTCACCTCATCATCATATCTTACCTGAAACAACAAATATTTTTTGTTCGAAGGTAAACAGCGAAATTCATTTGAAGGATGAATTTTTGAGATGATTTTTACGGGTGAATAAATTTATTTTTTTACCTCAACGAATCCACTCAGTGGGAAATCTTTCCTCAGGGGATGCCCCTCGAAGCCATAATCAGTGAGAATTCTCCTCAAGTCCGGATGATCAGTGAAAAATACTCCATACATATCCCAGACTTCTCTCTCGTACCAATTAGCCGATTTGAACACAGAGCAAACAGAATCCACTGGTGTCAACTCATCAGTATACGATTTTACACGAATTCTGCTGTTAAATCTGATAGAGAGAAGACAGTAGATCAACTGAAACGAGAGATCTGTGAATAGTTCCTCAAGTCCTCAAGAATATTTGCTTTGAGCTTGAGGTGAAAAAAAAAAGAAACCTCGAATCTGTAGGCTCTGCCAGGCACATCGACGGCTGTCACATCAACAAGTTGAGTAAATTGGGCATTATGATGATCTCGAAGGAATGACAAAGTGGGTCGTATTCCCTCAGGAGCTACGAGAATCTCCAGTTCATCTCCACTGGCAATCTGCACCATCTGGACGTATTTTGGCAGACAATCAGCCACATAACGACCAAAATCCTTCACTTGTTCGAGATTGTGGATTGTGGGTTTGCGAATAGTTGCTGAGAATGAAAAAAAAAAAATTATAAACATAACCGAAAAATCCCGAGAGAGAATTGTTAATAGTGAATGGTCCTCACGCTTTGTTTCTTCAGTATTTTCTGGAATTCCCTGGGGACTTCTTAATGTTGAGGCAATGGAAACATAACCTGGAATTATCAATGAAATGTCACAGTTATATAATTGGAGAAGGAATTTTCAATAACTTGTCGCAAAATCATTGAATTTACGTTTTGGGAGGGACTGCAGGGAAATTTTCACAGCATTACGCGCACTGTTGAGAATTATTGAAGCCATCATTTGATATTTTTTATTGTTTTGGTTACATACGACCCGAAGGAACTTGCCAGACTCCGAATCAATGGACTTGAGAAAATGGGAGCGATGTGAATTTATCGTCAGCTGGTAGAGTAAGAAAAAAAAAATCATTCAAACGAGACTTTTGATCTTTTAAACTCCATTTGGAACAATTAGATTATTCATTCAAATTATTATCAAATAAAAAATATAAATGTTTGTAATGATTTTTCACAGACTTGGGGAAGAAGAAATAAGATATAATCAATTTTTTTCCAATTTTTTATTTAATAATTATCAGTATCACTAATTTATTTACATGTTTTCATTTCATTATCTGGATCATTTAATTGCAAACCTACATTTCCATTTTATCACTCGCAGAATCGCTTTTGTTTCGCCGTATTTAATTAATATATTATTCCCAGTACCAGCCCATGCGTGCAATGTGCGTGATAAATAATTCTTGTTGGCAAAACAAAATGCATGAAAGGTCTCTTCACTCATACCGAAAAATAATAACCAGAAAATAGCGTTGCCTGAATGATAAATCATGAAACAATCGTGTTGAGTACTCTCTATTTTTGTGATTTTTGCATCAATTTTTCTGATAGCTAAAGCCAATTATTTCCATGCGCATCATCTGATGTGCCTACTCAATTGAATTTCGATAATATCGATGAATCATTAACATCACAACGATGGCCGTTAACGAGAGGCCGTTGTCCATTTTATTATAATTTTTTAAGTGTAAAAAATCTAAATGCACCACACACTAACGTATGTTTAGACATTATATTTTTTTTTTAAGTTCAATTCAGAAATAAAAAGCTGTTTTTGATTTCGTGGGAAATACTTTCATCGATTGCACAAATAAATGTGATTTAGCTGTTAAAAGGAGAATGGGTTATTTTATTTTTATCAATAATCCATATGGTTAATTGAATTTTGTGAGCAAGCGACGAAAATATTTGGACAAAATCCCCTCAATGTCTAAATTGTTTCAGACTGATGCCTTTTCAATTCTCATTAACTTGATATTTATAATTGCTTTTTGACTAACATCGTACGAGTGGTTTACGAATATCATCTCTATCTAAATTGAGTGTATTGCATGATCATTTTGGTTGGAGACTGTACAATTGTAAAATATAATTCCCGTTCTAGCTACAGCAAATCTAGATTAAACGCCTGAGCTGTATGATTTTATTATTCCCACGACATTTAATGTCTCTCGAGTATTTTCTCTGTTCCTTCGGCCCATGACACACTCAATTTTAATTGAAATTTGGTAAGTTGAGAGTAACAATTTTTTTGTATTTTTTTTGTTCATTCACTTTTTTTAAAATATTCCCTTATTTAATTTCGCTTGTAGATTAACTTTTGGTATAGAAGTGTTAATTAAATAGCTTAAGTATAAACATTAGTTCATTCAGTACATTGGAGGATATGCAGATAAGAGGTAGGGGGCAGTGTAAACGATATGCGTAAATATTCGTTTTTATTTGCAATTTTTTATATGTTTATTTATACTGGGTTTTGCTACGTCAAACTATTCAACGATATCGTTGAAACTGCCCTACGTCATATGAATTTTTCCTCAATAAGTTAGCCACGTAATTACGCAAATGTTGACATTGATTTGAGAAAACTTTGTGAATTATTTTGCGTGCATTAAGAAACGATATTCATGTTAAATCGCCAAATCCCTGGGCTTTTTCTAATGCAAATTACCATTGATAATTAATTTTCCAGCGACAAAGCCCCGGGATTTTAATTCAATTTTAAATATTATCTCAATTATAAGTCCTCAAGCAATTCGGGGATATCCGAGTAGTCGGCACTTTGCAATTCTTTTTCTTTTTCAAATTCATTTATTTATCAGAATCTTCATTGTTTCTCAGATATTTGAGCCCTCAACGAACGTTTTAAGATTTTTACCAGTGATTCATCTGAATATAGTCCATCAAACACAATTTCACGCAAAAAATGTGGGATATGTGTGTGTTCATAGCAAATATATTCTTTACAGATATTTATATCGATAAAAATTCTAAGTGCAGTTCTTTAGAACGAGTGTAAATAGTTAATCCCATTTTCAATTCGTTAAAATGATGAAATTTGGAAAAGTGGTTAAGAGAGAATCTCAATGAAATTGTTCTTTGGAATGTAGAGCAAGATGAAAAATGAATAAATAGACGCGAAGAATTTTAGAGAGAGATGTAGCACCTTTTTTTCTCATTATTTTAAATAAATTGGAACTCCACTCGGCGGCAATTGCCTTTTGCGAGTTATCATCACCGCAATTTTTTTTTAACGATTTATTGTAGATTGTTTCAACGAAAATTTGACACTCATTCATACGAACATTATCTCCGATAACTAATAACAACGCTATCAATATCTACGGAGAAAAAATAATTTACATTTTATTTTTACTTTCAAATCAGATAATCTCTGAAACAATAAAAAATTTCAGAATTATCTTCGAGGTTTTTTAATTCAAATGGTTTTCTCTGTATAATTAATTGTTCATTAGCTATAATAAAAATTGCGAGAATAGCTTGTCCCATTTTGTAAATTTATCGATAATTTTCCGCTTGAAAGCAATGTTAATTACCTAGAGTCCAACATTCGTCTAAATTTCTCCCAGTAAATCTGTTCGTAGTATCAGTGCCGGTGTCTATCATTGACAAGAGGAATAATTTCACATATCAACACGTTATTAACTAATTATTGGCAATACTGTGTTCCAAACCCTGTGTGTGTGTGTCTGAAGCATTTGTTACATGCTGGAAAAAATATCCGAACCCATCGAAACTATAAACGACAACAATAAAAATTTCAATCAATTCGTGTGCCTTTCCTATACAAATTTTGACACTGCAAAACAATTAATAGAAAAATTGTGAAGTTCTTGTAAAGAATGCCATTGAAATTTTCATAGAATCCCATTATAGTCGCACTACTCCTCAATTTCTTCTTTCGCGAATCCTCCGGTCGCCATTCTACTACCCCCGAGCTACAAGATGTAAGCAATCCGTTGTTTCGTCCGATGAGGAATTGAATTTGGTGGAAAATAAATCTGAAATAGTATATTGCACCTCTAACCGATTTAACCGAGCGAAACGCGAGGAATAAAATAAATTTCTTTCATATTTTAATTTGCTATGAAAAAAAAAAAAAAAATCAGCGTACACACGGTGGGTATAGTTGCATATAGTCGCGACTATAATGAGAGTACTACTATGTTCATTCGAGAAATCCTCGAATTTCCGTTTTCTCCACTCATCATAGCAAACATTTCTCGTTTATGCCTCCACCACTCAATAATAAATTTTCTATGAATTTAATAAACAATTTACACATATAACATAAGTTATAATAATTTATATATATTTATATTTCTTCTATACAACAATAAGTTATTAGCATAGTCACTTAAATTAGTAAACGCTAATGATTTACTTTCGTTCACCCATCACCATCACCACCACAAAATCGCACTATTGTTGTCAGCAAAAAATTCACAAGTGAGTTGACGTGCGCCAGCCCCTCGATTTTATATATACGTATTAATTAATTATTGCATACAAATAATAAATACAATCGCACACACAACGACTCTCGCTTGAAATAAAAATCTCACTTATGCAGATCGATTTTTCCTCGATGAAAATCGACGTATTGTTTTTATCTTTTTTTTTTTTTCTAACACAGTCAGTCTTGGCTTGCTTCATCAACTCGATATTTTTTGTGTTCTAATGGACGGCGGACGATCCACTTCAAAAAGCTCCACTAAATTCTACATTGTAATACATGTGCTACCATTTTTCCTGATTAATCTCGTTGGATTTTTGATCGCCCGTCCATTAGCGATCTCATGAATAATCAATAACTTCAGACAAACCACTCTTTGATCTCCTTTAATTCACATTTTTTACCGTTTTTACTTCCGTTTGTTCCGGCTTTCAAGGCACCGTTGTACTGTTGATCTGAGCCAGTGGCACCGAGTAGAGCGGCATTTGGATCTTGACAGAAGTTCTTGGTCTCGTCGACTTTGTAGTGAGTATCAGGACGATTTTTGAATTTCAGGATCAGTAGAATAATGAGAATAATAGCAATCAGTGCACCAGCTATTATGACGATTATCAGGGCTGTGTGCTTGGCTGCTTCTGTGTGAATACTCGGCACTGTTGGTGGATATTTTTTTATCGGAGGACCTGGTGTATACACCTCAGGATGGTAGGGCGGTGGATCTGTCATTCTCGTTGTTGTTGTTGTTGTTGAGTGAGTTGTCGCACTTGTTGTACGTGGCGTTACAGTTGTGCTGAAATGACAGATCCCCAAAAGCCACAGCATCATGAATACAAGTCATCATTTATCATTGTAATCAGAAGTCAAATAAATCTCTATAACATTTCCCTACAAATTGGTTACTATTTTTTGTACACACAGATTATTTAAATACGAGAAAGTAAACAGCTGTTAGACTAAAATCTCAAATTTCTAAGGTAATTAATGATTTTCGCGTTCAAATATTGAAAATAAAAGGAGAAGAATGCGTACGAAGAGTTCAGATGATATTAGGTAGAAGGTGATATTGAAAAATGATTGGGGGATTTATTTAAAAAAAAATGTAATATCATACCTGGTGTGCGTAGAGTCAGTTTCTGTACTGGACGCATTGTACTGTGTAAATGTGGTGGATACAGTGCCACGAGAAACTGGAGTTGAGCCTGTTGATGCCTGAGTACTCGTATGACTTGTAGAAGATTCACGTTGTGTTGTAAATGTCACCGAGCTCGCATCTGTACCCAAATATGTATTAAACAAATAACCCAATAACAGCAAAATTCGAGCGACCACCCAAAACTCCGGATATTATCTTTGATATATTAAAAAAAAAATTGGTTTTTCCAGAAATTTTCACAGCGGCACTGAGGTAACAAGGGAAATAGACGCGTGCGTAGGTGATAGCAGGGACGTACCAAAAGGCATCACATTTCATGTGAATTATTTTTCATTGTAAATAAGGGAAAATCAATGTCCAGATTAAATTTCAACCGTTCCCGTGGAATTGATTTTTCTAACGCTGGAAATAGATTTCCCTGTGATAACACTCAGCGTCAAATGACGTCAATGGCAAATGAAAAAATTGAAGAGGAACATTTCGAGAGAGGGATTCGATGATAAACGGCTCTTTTTGTATAATTATTGGAATGGTCACAAGTTGCTGAGGTTCTACTGCGGGGATCAATATTTCGAGTTGGCGAGATGGATACCAGGGGGAAAGCCTTCCACGTGGTATCGAGCGAATTTTTCGAAATTTAATCATTTACCTGTGACTGATGTTACGATAACTTCTTCGGTGGTTCCAGGATCACCAGATCCTTCTTCGCAGTCTTCTTCGTCGTCGCAGGATGGACGCTCCTGGATATTCTCTTTCTTTGGTTTTGCTGTTGGTGGTAATCTCGTTGGTGCAACGTACACTGGCGTTATCAAGTCATCTGGAAAATCAGTGACATTTTCCTAACACCTCTTCTAACTTTCGGAAACCAAGAGAGAATGCGGAAATTATCCTAGTGCTCACATTTGTCGAATGCTTCGCACACGAGTGATGATTTATCCGGTTGTGAGCGAATCTATTGATCCGGGTTTAAATAAAAATATCCGATTGCATCGGCAATTCCGCCCACGGGTTACAAGTCGCCCCAATCACCGTTTCAACAATTCGTTGCCATTTCGTATCCAATCGAAACTCGCATGAAGAGAATATCGATAGCCTTTTCCTTGACCTCAATTAATTTTTTAAATCATAGCATTCGATAGATAGTCCACGCAGGCGTTAATCTAATTCTTCTCGAAAAAAGGGTATATAAATAAAATTTGGAAGTGTTGGAAGCCGTTGAAGTAATTAAAACCACAGAATTGGAATTTGAGCCTTTTGTTTAATTCTGATAGAGAGAGCCATTAATTCCGTTTTTAGTCGGCCACAGCAGATTTTTCATCAGGCGACGAGAAATGGCCAAGAGGTAGCCGTTGGATTCGGGAGAAACTAACGGAAGTTTATCTTTAGTGTGAGAGATCCCTAAATATGCAAATGAATTGAAGATACAACTGGGAATACAGAAATGACTGGAGGTAGCACAACAGCCATTCGAGGGAACTAGATGTGTATCGGTATAGGGTAATTTTCGATTTATCATTTCTCCTCTCAATACTCATTCAATTGTAATTCTCATTACAAAATTGAAATGCTATTGACGACAGCATCCTTGGAATAATTCTCTCATCAATAACAATTTATTTGTTGTAATCAAAAAAATTGAGAGGAAGGATGGAGGGAGTTATAAAATTCGATTATATATAATATAAAAAAAAATGGTGGTAAGCGTCGCCAAAGGCGACAGTGCCTTACCATTTATATGTGTATTCCGTCCTTGTCTAGGGGAGTGCTAAACGTCTCTCCTTTCATACTACACGAAAAACTATATATCATGTGTTCTTATAAAGGAACTGTATGCAGGAGCACCACTTACGAGAAACAACATTTTCCTGTATAACTTCAAAACTATTTGAGGAATTTTACTGAATCAAACTCCAAACTTTGTGAAATTCTAATGTTCAATTTTTAAAGTCAATTTGTTATTCACTTGATTATTTTTTATATCAATCGATAGCAGTGAGTAAAGTAGAAATTCATATGATCGGGTCTGTCCGGCTGGTGTATACATGGGTTTTTTAATGACATTTTTTTCTACTGAAGATTAAACGTGAACACGAGCGCTGGTTGTTGCAAAAAAAAATCGGATTTTGAAAACGGTTCGCCTGGAATATTTGATTATTACCTGCGAGGCGAATAAATTTGAAATCACCTATAAATAAATGTATTCAACCAAATTCCACAGATCTTCACTGGTTTTCCCGCAATTACCTGAATTTGGATCGTAAATTGGGGTGCAATCTTCATCCTCATCATCGCCTGCACATCCACTGCCAGCTCCAGAAAATATAAGATCATCCATGATGCCAGGGGGACCGGATGCGGGTGTCTGCCGGAAAAAAAAATCGTACCCTCAATTACTCCGATAAAGAGAGAGAGAAGAAAAATATATTCAGAGACATTTCCTCTCACCTGCTGCATGCGTTGAAGAGGTGCCGTTCTGTCCAATAAACTGCCGGGTGGTAATGGCTGCACATCTCCCCTGATAGTAATTACAACTCTATCCTGACTGGCAGCTGCTAATTCTAATATCCTAGCCCTATTTACCACTAATCCCGAGATTATCCCTAGGAATGGACGCTCTACTCCTCCCTTGTTCTTGCTCCATTTACCACCGACTTGAATTGTCGATTGGCCATTGAATATTGTCAATTGATTCCCTGAAACATTGAATTAATCGCATAGATCAATAAATTAATTCTCGAGAATCCTAGAATAATTATTTCCAATATAACTTAAATACTTCAATGAAGTATATATATATTCCCATGAATGGGCAGTCTAATCAATATAAAAAACCGATTGGGATTGGAGGTCGGTGTTTTTGTTTGGACTGGTACTAGGGCACCATAAAAAGATCGGCGAGGTAACACTGACCACAGCGGACTGTCCGTTGATTTTTTTAATGGAAAGGGAAACCAGTTGTTTAGGGTCTGAAATCTGTTAGTTCTCGAGACAGGCGAACATACGCACTCTGGATAACCATCCAATACCCCTATCGAATCGGCATTGAATAATAATAAAATTTGCAAACCGTATATTTTAACAAGTCAATTTTACATTACAAACATGTTTCTCAAAAATTACTGGAAAAAAAAAATGAAAAATACCGAGATATCGGCAATAACTCCTTCATTAAAGACTGGCTTCATTAAAAAATGGCCGGATAAAGCAAATGGGCAATAATTTAAGTTTTTACCCGAGAAAAAATGAGACAGTCTGACAGTATTGTAAAAGGCGAACAGAAACAAGTAGAAGTTAACTGAATTATTACAGTGGTAATGTGGTTTTTACACAATTTCTTTTAACCCCACCGACGGACTGCCATGAATGGTAGCACATGCCAACAGCAACTCTCACCATCTGTTTGTTCAATAGCATACATAGCAAACATAGTCACATTATCAGTAAAGTATAAAAATCCAGGCGGTTGCACATACCGATGCAATTATCAATTGCTCGGAGCGCATGCGCCTGATGTTATCACAATTATCCCTGAGTTATCGTATATCATAAACACACTGGCAACAAGTGTCATTGACGCCACATTCCAATCTGAAGAAGTCCAATAAACTGTATCATATCATTAGGAGAACAGAAGGTGCACAGCAGTCTTTTCCGTTTCGAAGAATTCAATGACAGTATTTTTTTATCAATGAATTAATTCTTCGAAATGAATTCAAACAATTCTTTTGATATCTTTTGATATGTAATCATACGAGCGAAGATCATAGAGGACCACGAAATATTACCCAGGATTTATTCGGCATTTTTATTATGCAGTTAATCTTTTTCTCGGTGGCTCTGGTCGATTCAATGGCGTAATTCAGCGGTGATTATTTATGCAATTTATGCTAAATGGATTGGCGGTGTGGATTGACATTGTTATGTTGCGTTGACAAATGATGGAGGAATTTTCAGGGAATTCGAGCCCTCGGAATTCCACGGGCCCTGGATCATCATCTTCCGAGCAATTAGCTCTTGCACGACATAATCTAAATTAATAAGTAAATTGCCAGGAGAGCATCGATGTTAAAGCAGTGGCACAGCAACGGCTACAAGTCCAAAAGTGGGTTAAGGTGGTGTAGCTCGATGCTCTCTCGGCTTAGAAGAGCAACACATGTCGGGCTATGTAACAGGGGATGATAATCAGGATATATTTTTATTTTTCAAATGTATTGAATTTTTCAAGTAATTACAGGAAATTCATTTTGAATATTCATGAACCGATTGATATCCACAATAAACCACCGATTTTTTTCCCAATTTTTTCGAAATCGATTGTCTCGATTAATCAACAAATTATAATCGACGACGAAAAATGAGAGAATGCCTAGGTTTATTTTTAAATATTTCAATGATCGCAAAACCGTTTGATGTAGGATACGAAAATGAATGTGGAGAAGAGATAGTGGATGTAGCTAACGGCAAGCATCTTACGAAGAGGATTCTCGATTCGCTTGGATTTCCCAAGGACGACGGGAAAGGTACAACCAGTTGTCGACTTTTCACTCTTTCTAACCTTTTTGCACCACACATTCGCCTAGCTACTGCTGTCCCATACTCCCCTGGTCTTTCTAAACACAGGTCTTGCGTTAGGACGATCCTAACCACCCTATCCTATTCCCCATGGGACAACTGTCACTTCTAACTCACCGCTAGTTAAACTTTGCCACCAAAAAAAAAAAAAAGGGTTAGTCAACCGTCAAAAAGTCAATTCCACCGGTCACCCAAAAGTCAGTGTTTCGTCCGGAGGGTTGAAATTTAAAAAAATATATGAAATAACAAATAGGTATAACGTAAATAATATTGAGAAAGGCTTTAAAAATCGAGCACAAGATGCGTTGCACCGCGTGGGAGAGACGAAAGAATGCAGCTCCGGGTGCAATAAACACTTGTAAAGTGATAGTGAGAGAGAGATATTTCCCAGGACTCTTATTTTCTCACGATGAGGGAAATAATGAGATTTTGGGTGGTCGCGGACACATGCGTAACCGTTGGTTCGAGCACCGTGAGAAGAAGCCGAAGTTGGGGCTGAATTCAGTGCCCTGGTATAACAGGCACACATCAGGATGAGATTGGTTGAGGAGTTATCGGGTTATGGGGTTTGCCCTTCGGGAGGAATATCAGGAGGTACTAACTTTTTTTTCTCTTTTTTTCTCTAACATTTTCCAATAAAACTCATTCCGCCTTTTCTATTTTGGGGCACATCACCATTTAAAAATCCCCCATACCTCATACTCAGGAAAAAATTACTCTGAAATTCCACACCTTTGAAAAGCAAGTGATAATATTCACTTGCTGAAGACGGAAGACGTTAATTAATGTAGCGGAAATAATTCGTAATAATGTTGGACAGTGAAGTGAATGATTTGTTGAGAATATTTGTGGCTGATCGATAGGTTCGAGCTGCAGAATATTTTTTCGTGAAGATTATTGAGATTTGTGGGTGAATGGGCGAGAGTTTCGTCTCCTGAATCCTTAATTTCTTCTTGAAAGAAGTGGCTGATGAGGGGTAGCTAACAAAACCAAACCCGACCAGCTACCCTTCTCTGATCTCCTATTCCAACTGGGAATCAGTTTCCCCTGAAGCTGCGAAGATTCTCACGAGTGCATATAACCGACATTCCACAGCCATTTCCAGTGCGACACATATAAACTCCCGTGGGAAGATTTTTTTTTCTCAATTCCTCGACGACGTGATAGAGAAGTCCATTGAGTCTGAGCTAGCCAGTGAAAAGGGTAACGAATTAACTCTTTCGAATGTCTAACCGCCTACTACCGAATCACATAATCTTTAGCCCCTGAGAAATCGCTATCCCACGCTCCAGTTGTCGTCAGGAAGTGACCAATTCAATCTCATCCCTCCATCAGCAATCATCCATTGTTTAATTCATCGGGAATTCTATATATTGTTACGAGCCTTGGAATGCACTCATTGGGAAAATTGAGAGATTGAAAATGTTGAAATTTCATGGCGATTGAAAAACTCCCGAAACTTTTTCATCAAGATCCCCGGGGCCAGTAAAATGGTTTATGGGGCCATCCTGAGAGGTGATGACGGCTCATTTTTTTTTCTCACGTCGACAGCAAGTGTTTGGGATGAGAAAGGAAATAAAAGGAAGGGAATATATGTGGAAAAAAAAAGTAAGAGAATATGTGAGACGTTGGGCGCGTGAGAACGTTGTGAGGGCGCGTGGGAAAACGGCGAAGGCGCATGGCGCTTCTGGTAACAGGAAAACATTCAGACTCGAGAGGTTAATCAACCATCTCTTATGACGGGAATCCCATAATAAATGTCTTCACCCAATTTATTCATGGATGGACTGACCAATTTTCCATTTTTTCCCTGACCAAAAAGGGCGCCCTTCCCCGCGCCCCGAAACTTGTCTATTTTCTTTTCTTTGCAAATTGAAACAAATTTATGATTAATTAATGCTCCATTTTCAATGGGGAATTTTATATGAAATCCCTGGAAATATCCTTATCGAGGACTTATGCATTCATGGGATGCAATAATGAATTTTCAATTCTCTGGTAATTTTTACTCCCGATTTCGCATTTTTTCTCAGGTCTCCCTGGTGCGGCTGAAAAAATTTTGGTGAACGCTTTAATGCTATTGAATTCTTCTTCCATAAAGAACATCCTCCACCTCGCTTCTATTGATCATTGATCCCAGTCACATTGAATTCGCTGGAGGGAGAAAAAAAAAGAAGAATATTTAGTGCATTGTGGAGAATCCTCCGGTTTCTCAGCGTGAGAAAGCGTCTTGTACGGGGCAACAACAGTGAATACTTGAAGCAGGACTACAGAAATCTGGAGAAGGTGAAGTCGAATTCCTAAGGGACACCTCGGGTTTTCCTTCTGGGTGAGAATAATCCCTCACGGAAATAATTGAAAGGATAGGGTTGAAAGTTTGGAGAGTCTGCTCCATTTCTAGAACAGGAAATCAGACTGGAAGAGCTGGTGATCGATGGGTACCTGGTAAGGACATTTCAGGTAGCAGAATTTAGGGTTTGCAAGTCAATGGAGATATGGCCTCCTGTAAATGCCAGGGGAGAAGGTTAGAAAGCAATTAAAAACTGGAGGGATAAGAGAAAATTTTCTGTTTCTCACATTTGCTGTTTTCATTCACGTGTCAAAGATTTCAGCTAACACTAAAAAGAAATTATTGAAGATGTCAATTTCCCTGATTTTTCTGATCTTAATGACAATTGAAAATTATATTTATTGTAAGTGGCAGCTGGCGATGTGAATGTTTTATCCTGCGACGACGTAATTTTGTATTAGATGTCGGAATTCGAAAGTCTACGAGCATAAGCTCATAAAATATATAGAAATCAAGATAAACAACTAGGTCCTTATGACCTTGAGGTTTTCATGACGATCCCTTCAGTAAACAACTGCATTAGGATCTCATGACTTGTGAGAAGCCGTTAGTCCTTTTTAAAGGAGGAAAAAGACGTCCTTCCAACGGTAAGAAATAATATTTATCACTTCAAGGTACGATAAAAATTATTTCATGAGTGAAAACGGCGCATAGATTTTTCATCAATTTTTAATTCATTTCAAGGACAGATTTGGAAGTTTTCTGTCTGAGGAAATGGGTCAGTGAAAAGATAATGAACTGATATTTTCCGGCGAAAAAATAGTATCTCCG